GCTGTCCGAATCGTATAGCATGCCCTCTTGCTGCTCCAGCATCTCATGCAAAGCCTTTGCGCCTTCTACATTCATGTCAGCATCCAGCTGCTCCGTGATGCGCCGCGCGAGCAGACGATCGTCATCGGTGGTCCGGAACGACTCGGACGGCGCTGCATAGGCGCCCGATGCGTCCTCCCGAGGCGCAACACTACGCGCGCCAGCTCCAGTAGCTGTTGTCGTCTTGGAGACGTTGCCCGGGTTCAACAGCAGATGCGGGGTGAGACGCTTCAGAGCTCGAGGGACTGGTTCGTGCGTATCCGCTGGTCCTCTGGTCGTGTACCACAGCAGTAAGAAAGTGCTATCGCGGAACCAGTCTCGTTCGCGCTTTTGAAGAGCCCTCATCCGAGCTTCCAGAATGACGAGGGCACGGTCCCGGATCGTTGCGTAGACGGTACTGCCAAATGCGCGTTCAACACGATCATGGTCATAAATCGTTGGAGCGGAATCTATTTGTGTTATCAAGAACGTATCAGCATCTAGACTAGTGGAGTAACGTTCGACTGACAACTGACCTGTCGCGCTTAGCCAAAGTGCTTGGCGACTAGAGATGAGGTCGTGCTCGTCTTCGAGCCAAGCAAGGGTTTGTCGCACCTCGGCGCCAATCCGAGCGAACTCCTCCGCAGCTCGATCCAGGTCACGCACAGCAACGATGCCCCGTTTAACCCACGGATCGGTGGCCCAAGCAGCTTCAACATGCGTGAAAAACCCGTCTTGCCAGAAGAAATCCGTGTCTTCAAGATCAAGAATCGATGCTAGGCTACCGACTGATGGAAGATTGTTGAGGAGGTGCGATGGTGATGATCCGCCCGCCGTTCGAAACGCGTTGACAGCCTTGTTGTATGCCTTACGTGCCTTTTCAGCGCCAGAGTGTGTCTTGACTTCCGTTTTGCGAGCTTTGTTGGCCTCTCTCTGACCAAGTGTTGACCCGCCCCTGCCGCGACGCGTCGATAGCAAATTTTCACGGCTACTTTTGTAGGCAATCACTTCTCGATGAAGCTTGCGCAGCGCAACAGAACACTGGCACAAGTGACGAAGCTCTGTGAAGCAAATAGGCACGTCATCGCAATCAGGAACAGGGAAAACTAAGTAAGAGAATTAAGGCCAACCTGTGGACGAGATGCTTGTCCCACTTCTTTGCAGTTGGACAATTGCTGCTTGATCGATCTCCCTTGCAAGACGATCGTGCTTCGAATTCAGCCCCACAAGCGCTTCTGGTTCAGACTCGTTACTGCTCAGCAAGATGATGAGTCAGTGAGAACGAAGGACAAGCTCAAGCTCAAGTAGTTATCACCAAGCACGTACATGATGCAGTCAATCCTGTAAAGTTCCTCAGCAAGTTTATAAAGCTCGCTTTCCCTCAAACGATCTTCCTCAGCTTCCTGCGTAGCTGTTTTCGACGCTTGCGCTCGTCGCTGGTCTTGCCAAGCGACGCGGAGCGCCTCCTCCGACCAGGTGGCATCGTGGGCGATAACGGCGTCAAGTTCCTTGCGAGCAGCAGTGCTCCGAGCCTTGACTGAGCGAAGTCGGCGGGTGAACCAGGACCCTAGTCGTGTGCAAAGAGTCAATGCGGCGACTGCGGAGCACTGACCAAGCCTTGAGACGTTCGCGTCGTTCACTGCCTGCGTGCGGACCGCCAAATTGACGAGGCGGTGGGACTTATTTGATGGACGATTGATGGGGATGAGGGAGCGCAGCGCGCTCCATAGTCGCTCACAACCTTCTCCATCAGTGAATCCAAAGTTCGGGATGAGACGGGGGTTGTAGTCAACCTGGTAACCCCAGGTATGGGCGTATGCATGGAAGACACTTGTGGCGAACTCGAGTCACTCAAACAGCTCAGGCAGCAGATGCCTGAAAAGGTTGAAACACAAAGCCCATATGATCAGCAACGACATATCGGAGAGGGGCCCGAGCCGAGGTGGTCAATGCAAACCTTCTCAATGTGGTGCTTGAAATTACAAGCGATGTCGTACAAAATTCCAATCCTAGCATCTGGGGGAAGATGGTCCGAGATGTGCTTGACAATGGCTAAAGCGAAGTACAGCCTAGGTGATTGGAGCGCAGGCATGAGCATCAGCAGTGAAAGTAAAAATGCAAGTTGGAGTTGAAGAACATAAGCTCAATACACTCACTTTTCGCCGGTCTTCTCAAGATTCACCATTTTTAGGGCGATATCATGGCGGCACACGCCGGCGACAAGTCCTGTATCGATCTTGCGCGACGAGACTCGACCAGCGCCCCCGTCAGCAGCCTTCCACGACTCTGTGCACGCCTTCCGACGGGGCCGGAGCGATATTACTCAGTATTCGAGGCGGATCGCAAATATATCACGCTCCTCACCTTCTTCGTTGGCCGCGCTGTATTCTCGACGAGTGCTTTCATGTCCAGGACGGCTTTATCAGACAGAAACAAGCTCGGCACTATTCCTTGGACGTCGTATGTCGCATTATTTTCTCGGGTTTGCTGGAAGTTGCCGTCGAGCGCGATCATATAATCCAGTTGGAGGGTGTGATGGGGTCGGTTGAGCCGTTTCGGCCCGAAGCACGCTGGGCATTTGTTGGCCAGCGCGTCGACGGTGCCCAAGAGAAAGTCGCCAACGTCGCGCTCAGATGCTTCGATGGCGCGAAACTCGTCGATCGCCCGCTGCCATTGCTTCCTCAGCTCTTTATCCTGAGCTCCACAATCAGGCAGCAAATGAGTCCAGGTAGAACCCATGGCAAAAAACCGATACTAAATGCTCACATATGGGTGTCCATGATAATGCTCTGGTTTCGACCACCCGTTGTCCCCGAAATAGTCTTCGAAGCCTGCAGCGTGGCCAGTGAGGGCGTAAGGGGCGTTACGCCAACGCGAGTTTTCTAGGCGGATCATGCGGAAGGAGAACGCTGATCCTGGGTTGACAGCGGTCGATGCTATAAACCCAAGTTGAGCCAGGCGTACAGCTTCCGCAATACAGGGCGGATTGGAAGCGCAGAACGTGACTTGCTTGGAATAGACTGAAAGGCAAGGCGCAGAGGGGGTTTCACGTGTCAGTGATACCAGGACAACGGCGAGAAAAGATGCATCGCGCAAATCGGTGAACGGAGCTGGCATGACACATACCGGTCAGTCCGTCGTACAGGACCACCTCGCGAGCATACACGTGCTGACAGTGGCATGGTGAAGGAACGTTCAAGTCGTCCTTGTCGCTGTTCGAAACGAGCGGCAGAAACTGCCCATTGGTGCTTATGCGTAAATCAAGATAGAGACCCAAAAGGGCAGCGCGCTGACTCTCGCGCTGCTCGTGCTCGAGTGTGATAAACTTGAAGTAACCTTCTTGCTTAGCGGCAACCGGCGGATCGGAGACGCGGGGAGTTGGTAAAACCTCCTGTGCGAGTTCCTGGTGAGTTGGGCGTTGTAAGTCGGGGTCGGGTGGGTCCCAGCGCTCCATGGAAAGATCCATTCCCCCTAGGTCTTCGTACTCGGCCTGCTGAGCAAGAGGGAAGTCCCTGAGATAATCCTCGTTGAAATCATCGTGGGAGAAGTTCAGGTCATTGGCGAAGACTGAGGTCGAGGCGACAGGGACGCGTTGGTTCGTGCTCGTTTCGACGTTTGACGTTGCAGATGTGGTGGGAGTGGCATCCATATCTGTCTTGGCCTTCCTCGGCCTCTTACGTCCTCCTTTATCGACGATCGTACCTCCGAAAGTGACAAGGCACAGCGGCATCGTGGCGTATTGATTCGGGCAATCGGGATGGTCGAGGTAGTCCGAAGGCTTGATCCGCGGAAAGCGTGGTTTGAGTCGCGAGGGGCGGCCCATGGTGACTGAGCGGAATGAATACGAGAACACAAGTGTAGTAGCTCAGCAGCAACGAGCTCCGGGTGGGTTAAGTCTGCGACGATCCAGGTAGTACGTCCTGCAGGAAGCAGCGGCGGCCGCCTGCATGCACGCGCGACAGATTCCTTGCGTGCCAATTTGACGTGTTCCTCATCTTACAACGCGTCAAGCACGTGACTGGACACCCGCCCATGAGCATGAGCCCCGGCCTCAGGCGCTTAGAGTCTTAACATTTAAAAAATTACGTGTGGTTACTGATTCAACTCGAGATCAATCTTTGCTTCTTATTATCTCTCATGTCGTCACATGATCAATGTAGTGGTCTTAACGGACTTGGAAGAGGTGTACGGGCCTGTCCCCGCGCCGAGTTGCTACCGTCGGTAGCAGTGTTGCTACCGGGTCCAGGTCGCCTATTTGCATAGGTTTTTCTGGCCGCGCGGCGGCGCTACTAAGACTGGTTACTTTTTAGTCTGCCTGAGGTGCAAGGTGGTCTAGCCCTGTCTCGAGCGCCGTCGAGCGCCGTGGCCCAGCTTGACCCTTCGAAGCGAGGGCCTGCGACCTGCAAATGTTGATGACGACACAACGGAGCCCCGCGTCACGTGCCGTGAAAGTTTGGTAGTTCCGGTAATCGGCGGTCGATGATCAACCTCGAGCTAGGCCCCTCATGAGATGTTGAACTTACAAAGGTAAGCACACAGGTAGTAGACCAATTTTAGGTGAGTGCTGTCCTCCATCTGCACAATTTCGCCGTAGTGCTCGTTCCACGACGAAGGCAATTTTCCGCGTACGAGATCCTGGCTGAGCTCGAGCAGGGAGGAGTCCGGCTGTTACAGTTTATCACAGGGTACCTACAGCAACTGGGCGTCGGCCGTCGGTAACCACTGGCCAAACATACGCCGCCTGACGCCTGCAGAGCTGCAGAGGCCTGGCCGGGCCTCTCGCCTCTCCGGCGATCGGACGGGATCGAGACCGCTTCGGCAGGCGACGACTGGGAACGGAACGTTCCAGGCCCGGCGTTCTACACCACCTACAGACTACCTCTCGGTGCCAGCTTGACCGCACATCGCCACACAAGAGCGCCTATCGTGAGCAGGAACCCAAGCTGAACCTGTGAATGTGCCCATGCTGACCAGCACTTGTGATGTTACACGCTCAGGAGGGCCGGCGCGCGGACTTCTCCGCCATGGGGCTGCCGACCTCGCTTGCCTCGTTCCTGGGCTCGTATCCGCACCCGACGTGCGCCTTCCCGGCCACGCCGCTGTACGATGCACTCATAACGCGTCAGATACTGGGATCCACGGCAGAACGCCAGTATGGGGCCGTCCAGAGTCCCATGTCGAACCAGGCGAGCCCGAATGCTAGCGCGACCGCGGGTGCGCATGACAATGCGAGTACGAGTGCAGGCGCGAGCTCATTGACGAATCTGCCGACCGAACCAGCAGCGCATGCCAACCAAGCGTCGTCTCAAGACGTTGCCAGTGACCCGTCCAGCTTCTCTTCCAGTCTGAGCGTACCGTCGAGGCCAGCGACACCCTCCAACCATGCTGGCGCGACCGCAAGCGACCGAGTGCTCGCGTCGGCCTTTAGAGGATCCAATCGAGTGCTTAACCACGGTCATTCCGGTGGCTATGCCGGATCGACCACGTCCAGCGCAACCAGCGCATCTCGCACCGCATCCCGTTATCTCGAAGGGGGCAAGCAGCTGGCCCACGATCCGAGTCGGACAGCCGAGGGTGCCGTGGCCGCCATGCATGAGCAGCACGAGCGGCAAGTAGCCAAGGATGAAGCTGCCGTGCGCGCCGGTGGCGTCCCGCAACGACGTACGATCCCATCTACGTTCGTCGAAGAGCCATCCTTCGCGGCTTCGGATCAATGGGCTGCCAAGTGCAATGCGCAGACGACGCGTGATCGAGCCGACGAGGGCAAAGGGCTAGGGCTAGGCGAGTTGCTTACCCCAGAATGGTCGAACACGCGGTGGACGGAAATGATGGCGACGCAGGCGTCCCAAACTTCGAACAAGGATGAGGATACTCTGAACCTGCTGTCGATCCTAGGGAGACAGGATCTGCAGGGGCTGCTCGCCTTGCTCGTCGAGGTACTGTCGTTCTCACATGCCTCGACCTCTTCCTCAACCGACCACACTATCACGATCTCGCCTCGGTTCCCTCCGCACTCTGTTCACCACCGATCTCTAAGGACCCGCTCCAAAATGCAGTTCGACACCCGGCCCAAACTGTCACCGCGCTCCTCTAGAGAAGATGGCATCCCCCCCCTCCTGTCAAGCCTCCCAGGGCGAAAAGGCTCGATCGCCAGTATCGCGAGTTCAAGTGGCGGTGGTAATATCTACACGCTTGGGTCCACAGCGTCCGGATCTTCCGCCCACGACGATGGGGAGCCCATCCTGCACATTGTCGCAAACTACGTCCCCGAGCACGACGTCATCGTCTTCACGACACTGGCCTCCAACATCTTTCGATCCGCGCCCGAGTCCACACCAGGGTCCGCAGCGTCTACGCCCGCGTCCACCGGCCCCACTCACCGCGCGGGGAGCTTTTTCTCAAGTGCAACGCCCGTCGCTCCGGCAGCGGAGACCACGAGGCCACCACCGCCCGATGCGCCGAAGCATCCGAGTCGACCACCTTTGCTCTCACGCGACACCACCGTCAGCTTCTTGTCTACAATATCGTCCACCACAACCGCACGACCCGGCCAAGGCTCGTCCAATGTGACACCTAGCAGCGCCTCTCCGACACCGTCAGCATTGGAGGACACTACGCCAGACTGCGTGTCTCCAATTATAGCAAGCCCGCTCCCAAGCGATCGTCTGCCCGAGCCCCCTTTGGACGATCACAGCGCCTCGAAGAGCTCGCTGTACAACGACGCATCAGGTCAAGAACTGCTCGATCCACGCGTGCAGAACATCAACGCCCATATGTTCGTGTCAGAGACGAGATCGAAGCGAAAGCGGACCAGCACCGTCAAAAGAAGCTCTCGCGACGTTGGACTGTCGACGGAAGCTGTGGAGCCCGTTCACGAAGAGTCTCAGTCATCCGGCGTCTCGAGAGCGCAAACGACTTCGGATAGTGAACACCAGAGCATCGCCCATCCGCATTATGAGCGCGATGGACCGCTGTTGATGCACGATGAGGATGAGTCCGACCGAGAGCTTGACAGACTGAGGGATCGAACTCGCACCGGAAGCGTGAACGACGACAACGGTGACGAGGACGAACCGGAAGAAGAGCTGGAGGACCAAGCTCTGGAATTCGATCCCAGAACACCTCGCATAGAGGTCGGAGGTCTTCGCAAGTCGCCCCTCTCCCAATCTGCGGGTCTGGCCACATTCATTAGCGTCATCTCGCAAACGCCTTGTGGTCGATTGATCGCAGCCTATTCATGGGAGAAGACGACCATCGGAGCGCTGGGGAGCTGGAGCCAAGAGCTCAGAACCTTGGTAAATAGTGACCCCCGCAGCAGACACGATCTGGCGATCCAGCTGACGCTTCACTGCCGTAACGTGCTCTGTGTCGTACATGCAGGTCATGCTTACGCTCTCGAGTCCATTCCGAGCCGCGTTGTGGTGGGGAGAGGACAGTGTTCTCATCTACAATGACGAGTATGCCCGGCTGCTTGGGTCAAGGCATCCGCGTCTACTCGGTCTTTCCGGAGCCGAAGGATGTGAGTGATCAGTATCGCGGACTTGCGCAGTGGACGCATACTCACAACGACCCCTGGGTATTTTCATTCAGGGAGTGAAATTTGGGACACACTCGGCCCACTTGCGGCCAAGGTCATGCAGGGTGAGACGGTGGCATATTATGATCAGTGAGTTCCGGCAACACCTTGACGCGATCCCCAGCGATCCGCTCAAGTACTGACGTCCCAATCTGCGACACGTGACGCCTGCAGCCATTTGCCAATGCTCCGGAATGGCACTCTCGAGGAAACGTACCACTGCTGGAGCTTTCTACCCATTCGTGACGTATCAGGCTCAGTCGTGGGGTACGAGAACACGTCGTTCGAGACGACAGCCCGCGTCATTGCGGAGCGTCGACTCGCAACTCTGAGAGATCTCACCCAAGTGACACAACTCGCCCGAGCAACGGAAGAATTTTGCGCCAAGACCTTGCAAGTCCTCGCGCTGAACGAGTACGACTTACCGTTCGCACTCATGTACACGGTCGACCAAGTCAACCCTAGCCATGGTCAACGCCTCGCCGGCTCGTCAACCGATGGGGCCCAATCAAGCCGTGGGAGTCGTAGCAAGAGCAACGGGACAGGAATGTCGTCGAGCCGGCAGCAATTCATACACCTCAAGCTGACGTTACAAGGAACCATCGGCGTGCCAGATGGCCATAAGTCGGCGCCTCCAGAAGTCAATTTGCAGATCGATCCGACACAAGCCTCGATGCGGACCGAGTCCGAGTCGGAGGAGACCACCTCGACGGCTTCGCAATCGTCGATCAACAACACCGAGAGCAACTCGATCGAGCGCGGGACAGACGTTTGGCCATTCCTGGAAGCGTGCCAACGTCGCAAGCCCGTCTTCATCAACGACCTTGGTGGTCGAGCCACAGGTTTCGCGCAGCGAGGCTGGCCGACGCCGTTGAAGCACGCTGTGGTGATCCCGATCGTCACGCAAAGCGGTAATGACACTTCCAGCGCACCGAGAGCTGTGCTCGTCGTAAGCCTAATGTGCTCGAGGCTTTGCACGCTTCCTCTCTCGCATCGTACAACTGACGCGTTCGCAATGCTACACCTTCGTAGTTGGGGATCAATCCGCGACGACCTTGGAACGAGGTTTTCGCGACCTTTTTGAGCTTGCTTGCGCGCCACTTGTCGAACGGACTTCTTGCAGTATCGATGGCAGAGAACGATGCGCAGCGGAACGAAGAGCTCGTGCAGCTGGACCGCGCCAAGACGACCTTCTTCAGCAGCGTTAGTCACGAGCTGAGGACGCCATTGACGCTTATTCTTGGTCCGCTCGAGGATGTTCTCTCGAACAAGAGCGGGCTAAGCCCCGAGGACAGGGAGCAACTACAAACTGTGCAGCGTCACTCCAATCGGCTGCTGAACATGGTCAATAGCCTGCTCGACTTTTCTCGCCTCGAAGGAGGTCGCATGGAAGTGTCGTTCCGACCCATGAACTTGGCAGCGGTCACGGCCGATCTCGCCTCGCTTTTCCGTTCCGCGATCGAGAGAGGTGGCGTGCAACTCATCGTCAACTGTCCGGCCGACCCCTTCAAAGAGGCCTCCCCTGTCTATCTTTCGGGCGAGCTGTACGAAAAGGTCATATTCAACCTGCTAGGCAACGCGTTCAAGTACACGCTCTCGGGCTCAATCGAGACTCGCGTCTCGTTCACGGCCCATTCGGCCAAGGTCGAGATCATCGACACAGGCTGCGGCATCGCAGACACCGAGCTGGACCGCATCTTTGAGCGGTTTCACCGCGTCGAGGGAACCAGTCGCTCGCGCGAGGGGACCGGGATCGGCCTCGCGCTGACCCTCGAGCTCGTCAAAGCGCTCGGAGGCAACCTGTCCGTGGCGTCCAAGTTCGGCGAGGGATCCACTTTCACCGTTGTCTTCCCGCGAGGCTCTGCCCACCTGCCATCGTCACAGATTCTCGAGAGCGGCGAAACGCTCACGTTGCCCCCTCGTGCACACGCCTCGTTGGCCATCATCGAGGAAGCGGCCAGTTGGAAGGTTGACTCGTCCATACCCGACAAGGATTTCGCTCCCAAGCCTAGCAGCACGAGCTCGACCCACAGCTCCGATGGGGACCTATTCAACGCCGTGCCCATCGATGTCCTCAACCTAAAGGACTCGACTGTCCTGCTGTGCGATGACAATCAAGACCTCCGCCGCTACATCGCCTCTTTGTTGTCGAAGTCGTTCAATGTAGTGCAAGTTGCGGACGGCCAAGAGGCACTCGAGTATGCGATCAAGAAGCCCCCCTCGCTGATCGTAACGGACGTGATGATGCCCCGGCTCGACGGCAACGAGCTTCTCAAAGCTCTCCGCAACAACCCGACGACGGCGCTCATTCCCGTCATCTTTCTAAGCGCCCAGGCCGGTTCCGAGGCCCGGGTCCAGGCGTTACTTTCAGGAGCCGATGATTACCTGAGCAAGCCGTTCCAGGGACGGGAGCTCCTCGCTCGATGCAACGTCCACCTGCAGATTGGTAAAATGCGCAACGAACTTGAACGCCGCGTCGAGGAGCGCACTCGAGCTCTGGTCGAGAGCGAGATGCGCTACCGTGGTCTCGCGGATCGCTACTCGACACTGAGTCTGCTGTCCCCCGTCGGAATCTACCTGGTCAATGCCGAAGGGACGCTCAACTATGCCAATCCGAGGTGGTACGAGATATCCGGCTTTCCGCAGGACAAGCCCCTGGCCCAGTGGCGAGATTGCGTCCATCCTGACGACCTGCCAGCCCTGGAGAAAATTTGGGACGAGACGATCGCGCTCAAACCAAAACACATGACCAAACGCGAACTGGTCTCGCACGAATTCCGGTTCAAGGATCGCGAGAATTGGGTTCTGTGGGAGATGCGCTCCTTCAGCGAGTCCGGGCTGAGACGAGGCTTCGTCGGTAGCATCACGGATATCACCGCCTCAAAGCGCTTGGAGAAGTTGCACCTGCGAGCCGTGGAGCAACGTGCCGCAGATGCTGAAGAAAACCGACGCAATACCGAGCTGTTCTTGGATCTGAGTTCGCATGAACTTCGCAATCCGCTGAGTGCGGTGTGGCAAAATGCCGAGGGTGAGGAGGTCGGCTGCGCGTGACGGTGTGAAGTATCAGCTAGCTAATTCGTATTTGATCCGCCGGTCTCTACAGTCGTTTCGTCTTCGCTCGAAAAGTTTATTGAGCTCATCGACGAGCTGAAGGAAGGCGAAGTGCCGGAGCAGGATGTGTTGGAACAACTACACGATGAGATGCTCGAGAATGTGGAAGCCGTAGAGTCCATCATCCTCTGCGCCAATCACCAACAGCGAATCGCAAACGATATCCTCAATGTTTCAAAGCTCAACATGGGCCTGCTCACCATCAATCTGGCGCCCTTCGACGTCACGGCCAAGATGCATGAGGTCCTGAAGATGTTCGAGGTAGAATGCGCGCAGAAGCAGATCAAACTGCGCGTCGAAAAAGGTCGCTCGCTCACCGATCTCGGAGCCGAGTGGCTCATCGCCGATTCGGGGCGCATCTCTCAAATATTAATCAACTTCCTCTCCAACTCGGTAAAGTTCACCACCGAGAACCGCACCCGCGTCATCACGATACATACCGATGCCTACTCAACTCCGCCGCCGTGCCCGCCAAACGCGCTTCGAGTCGACACCGCCCAAGCGCAAAGTACGCCAAACAACCACGTCTGGCTAGTGGTTGGGGTTCGCGACTCGGGCAAAGGCCTGGGGCCCGAAGACATGAAGAAGCTCTTTGCTCGCTTTGCTCAAGCCAATCCGAAATCAGGTAAAAGCCGGTTCCTACACGGTTTATCCTGGTGCTTCTGGGTTTGCTTACGAATGCTTCATCTTATCCCTACGACAGATCAATACGGTGGATCGGGGTTGGGCTTGTACGTATCCCGCAAGCTTGTCGAGCTACACCAAGGCTACATCGAGGTCGAAAGTGCCGTGGGGCAAGGCGCCGTGTTCCGCTTTGCTATCCCAGCCGAACGATCCGGACCCCCCGGCTTCGCCACAACGTCGCCAGCGACAAGCAAAATATCCGGTGCCAGCCCGCCCCTATCGACCCTAGCAGAAATTGAGCTCCGCTCAAGCGCAAACACAAAGAAGCTGGAGCAGCAGCTGCTGCTGCGGAAGCAACAGCCACCTCACGTACTCGTGGTCGAGGTGAGTTGGAGAATTGGACGCTCCGTTACGTTGCGGACTGGTCTGACAGTCCCGATATTGCGCGCGTCTTCTTCAGGATAATGTCATCAACTCTCGTGTGCTCACGCGTCAGCTCAAACTTAACAACTTCCTGGTCACACCGGCTTTCAATGGTCAAGGTGAGCAGGAATCAGCGAAGTGGTCGCCTGTTGACACATCTGACTATGTCCTGCATCTCACGCTTAACAGAGGCGCTCGATGCCATCGAAAAGGACGGTGATTTTTCGGTCATTCTCATGGACATCGAGATGCCCGTGATGGATGGCCTGACCACCATTCGTGAAATACGAAGGCGGGAAGCGGCTGGTCAAATCAAGAAGCGATATGTAGGTTCATGCGGGACCTTCACCCTCTCTGTAAGCCGTTGCATTAGCTGATCCATTCCCTCGTTGCCGCTTCAGCCGGTCATTGCAGTGACCGGTAACGCTCGGTCCGAGCAAGTCAAAGTGATTCGCGAGTCCGGCTTCGATGATGTAAGCGCGTCATGCGCAACTGTATTGAAGAATGCAAAGGATGCTGATGCGACCTTGATATGACTGCCGCAGGTTGCTCTCAAACCTTACAAAATGGCATCCGTCCTGGCCCAAATTCAAGTTCTAACTCAAAGGGAGTAGAATGGCAAGTCGCGTACTGTTTCTCCGTGGTTTCATCCCATCCCATCACCCCTGTCATTTCTACCCTTGCAGGAGCCGCACTCCCCCCTCCCCCCTCTCCCCTCCCTCCCCTTTTCGATGTCTGTAGCTCAGAATTTTACCGCTCCCTCTTGTCTGTATACATTATCGTATGAATTGATGTGTGGATGATAGGTTGTACATGAAATTTGCAGATAGCTTGACCTATGGTCATGCATAGACGCTACCGGCGGCGCTTCCAACGGAGAGGTCGACGAGACCTGGGGCTCTGCAAATCCACTGGCAGAGGTCGACAACGTCACTTGGTGCGGTTTGGCGGCACTGAGTGTAGGCAAATAGGTACTCACGCGATAGAAACAAAAGTAGAAGCCCCAAGGCAATACGAAGGGTGCCTACATGGGTAGAATGAATTTCGGGGATTTCGATCGTCGATCGATACCGAAGCCGGAACTCTGATCAACGAAGGAAAGAGGCACAGCATTTGAGCAGTGCACGGGGAGAGTTGAGAAGGTACATCGGTTGCAACCGTACAGGGAAATTGCAGAGTAAACCAAAGAGAAAATCAGGTCTGTTGCTGTACAAAAAACCCTGTTTTGAGCCCGTCTCACGGGCACACGCTGCTGCATGCCGCTGCTGCATGATGCATGATGATCCGACATCCGGCGAGAAGATTCCAAATCGAGAGCTGGGCCTCGGCGGTGGCCTCGGCCGCGCTTGCTCGCGCTTGCTCGCGCTTACTGCGCTCATCAGCTGGAAGTCGATGATCGCCAACGATCACTGTACATCGCCCTACACGCGCAGTGCGCCATCAATCAGCGTCTCACGAGCTCCTAACTGCCCGCCTTGGCACGTTGATTTCCTTGGGAGGGGTTTGCTTTGATCAAGGGGGCTTCTCACTTGACCGTTCGCGTCGCGATAGGTCCGACCGGCTTTGAAGTCTGGTTTCGTCGCTTGCGCGGGGGAAGGACGTCACTGAGAGTAAGCGTGCGAGCCAGCCCATCTCGCCGTCGCGACTAGCTAGTCGCCAAAGCGAGCGCGGTCGCCGCATCCATCACAACCTTGTCGTCAGGAGTCGAACCGGAACCTGTTATGGCGACCGAAGGCGATCAAGCCTCAGGACCGAGCATGGGTACCCGACGACGCGTGGCAGGGCCGGCTCAGCCAACATTGCGGCCTGGGGTGGTGCCACCAGCGCTCACCCCTCTGATGGAGTACTGGATCGCGAGCCCGAGCCCGACGCTGGTCGTGTCGATCGAGTCCGTCCGGCGCTCGATCGAGGTTCGCCGATCGAGTTCGCCGAATCGCGCGTCGAGATGGCTCAGTGTCAGCAACACTGCCAACCTGGCAGGAGCTCACCCGAGCACGTCCAACACCCCGCCCGGGCTTTCACCGGGCGAAGTCCTCATCACTCCGACGTCACCGATTGGAACCCAACCTCAATCCGGAGGTGCAGCGACGCCGGCAACTTCACAAGCTTGCAACTCCCCAGCCGCTACCACCGCACCAAAGCCTAGCAATGTGCGGTCAATGTCGACCCATGCGGCACCCATGACCACGGTCGGCTACGAAAGGGACGCCGGAGCAGAGTCTTCAGCGCACTTGACTCAAGCGTTGGACTCAAGCCATATTCCACAGGACGGGCCGGTACATCCTCTTCCGACGCCGTCCACGGAACTGACAGGCTCGCTGGAGAAGCTTGTCGTGACTCCATCAATAATCGAGCCTTCATCGCAAACCGCCCCTGGCGGAGCATCGGGAGACTACTTCACCCTCATCGGCCCGAATCGTGGAGCGCTCGTCTCGGTTGGAGCTCGCCAGAGCGACGCAAGCTCACCCGGCGGCTCGACACTTCCCACAGCCTCCTCGTCATCGGAACTCTCACCCACGTCTCCCGTATACGATGTCGATGTCGACTGGTTCAACGACTCGTTTGCAAAGTGGATCGAGGTCCCGTCATCGAATGCAGCACCGATCAGATTGCGACAGAACTCGCGCATGAGTAAAGCCTCGAGGAAGATGAGTAGCGGTCGACTGCAGGCTGAGTTTGCCGAGTCGATTGGTGACTACGGAATGGGTCCAAGCGATGCGGATGCCAAAGCGCGAACATCGGCATCCCGCGCTTTGGGATCATCCGGGAGCGCGCTGCGCAAGGTAACAACATTGCGCGAACTGCTGGGGCCCCTGGTGTCGGCGGACGATCGAGAGCACGTTCTCCATCTCATACTTGACCTCGTCGAGGATGCCGATCTGGCTGAAGCATCGGGAACACAAGGGATCCCCTCGACATCGGCCTATCTAGCAAGCGGGCCCTTCACGGCGACGATTGTCGGTGAGTATGTCGTGCTCGTCGCACCACCGCAAAGTTTCCACGTGCCGAAGAACAAACGACTCGCGACGCCCCATTTCAACTCGTACCAGACAGTGACGGCACATACCAGATTGGATCCTGTCGCCTCCCCTTTCGCAAACACGGCCGGGAATCAGTACCTGCGTTTGCTCGGACAGACCAGCATGGGCCGCATGATCAGAGATTTTGACTGGTCGTCGACGTCCATCGGACCGATATCCTCGTGGCCGCCAGAGCTGAAGACGACGCTTTCTAACGTGCTGGCCTCGCCTTTCCGCGAATGTATACTCTACGGCCCCGAATTCATCATGCTCTATAACGATGAATACGTCACGACTGCGCAAAACAAGCACCCGGCACTGCTGGGTCAGCCAGCCGCGATCGGATGGGCCGAATTGTGGGAGGGACTGGACAAGGTCGCAGAACGGGTCAGGGAAGGGGAAACGGTTTTTGTAACAGATCATTTTTTCGGAATGTTCCGAAATGGAGTGATGGAGGAGACATGTGAGTTGCCTGGCCCAGAGCCGAGAGTAACGCACATAAGAGGGAGGACTAACACAAACATGATGCACCTGTCCAGATCACACGTTCAGTTATAGCCCCTTCTATGACACCGATGGCAATGTGCTGGGTATTCGTAACTTCTCTGTCGAGTGCGTGTATGCAAGCCCAATGTGCGGCAGAGTTTCTGATGAGCGCTAACATCTGGTCTGGTCTGTTCTTTCCGCCTCGAACAGAACGACAGCAACCGTCATCGCTGCCCGACGACTCAGCACTGTGCGCGATCTCATCCAAATGAGCAGCTTGGCAAGAACAGTCAACGATTTTACCGACTCGGCGCTCGCTAGCCTGGCCCTCAATCCCTACGACTTGCCCTTCGTGCTGCTATATACCGTCACTCCTGAAGTTGCGGGTGTCTCGGCAAAGGAGTTGGTCCGAGCTGGCGCCGAGGACAAGAAATTTCACAATCGGCACCGAATCAAGTTGACGGGCAGCTTGGGCGTCCCAGAGGACCACGTGTTCCGAGTAGACGAGATCGTAGTCGATCTCACTCCACCCACGTCTCGCCTTTCGTCTGCATCGGGATCCCATTCGAATACGGGCTCGGGGTCGGGATCAGGCTCAAGCAATTTGACGACCATGGATACGGATGGGCCGCGGTCGCGATGGAGCTGGCCTTTCGAAGACGCTTGCTTGCGACGCGAGCCCGTCTTCGTCGAGCGGTTGGGTGAGCTGGCGAACCATCTTGAAAAACGAGGCTGGGATGATTCGCCTCGCCACGCGGTGGTTATTCCCATTACCGTCGAATCGACCTCGAACGCTCCGCAAGCCGTGCTCGTCCTTGGGGTAAGCTCAAGATCAGTATACGACGATTTGTATTCCACATTCTTCAGCTTGGTCGCTCGACACATTGCCATTGGCCTGTACGCTGTGCTGACAGCGGAGATCGATGCGAAACGCTCCGAGGATCTCGTCAAACTCGATCGCGCCAAGACAAACTTTTTTTCGAGCGTCAGTCACGAGCTGAGGACGCCCCTGACTTTAATCTTGGGGCCACTGGATGACTTGCTGGCCAGCAAGAAGGAGATCCCGGCAGCTACCACGGAGAAACTGCAAATGATGTCTCGCCATGCGAACCGTCTGCTGACGATGGTCAACAAGCTGCTCGACTTTTCCTCACTCGAAGGAGGGCGCACACAAGCCAAATTCCGTCCGGTCAAAATCGGAGTGCTGACGCAGGATCTTGCCACGCTCTTCCGTGACGCTATCGAGCGGGCCGGGCTCCGCTACGTGATCGAATGTGACGACGATCGACAGGAGCTCGTGCCCATCTATCTCGCCTCGGATCTGTGGGAGAAGGTGTGCTACAACTTAATCGGAAACGCACTCAAGTACTGTCGCAGCGGTTCGATCGAAGTGCGGTTGAAGACAACAGTCGCGGAAGCGGTGCTCTCGGTCAAGGATACAGGTGTCGGAATCCCCTCTGAAGAGCTGTCGAGCATTTTCGAGCGATTCCACAGAGTCGAAGGGACCGCTCGAACGAGCAGCGGGACCGGTATCGGACTCGCTCTGACGCTCGAGATCGTGAAGCTGCTGGGTGGGCTCGTCGAAGTAGAAAGTGAGCTGGGTGTGGGCTCTACGTTCTAGTAAGTTGCGCAGGTCAAGCGCATTCCACAAGGAGGAGTATGCTGACAAAACTATTTCCACAGCGTGCGCATCCCGAGGGGATTTACTCATCTTGCACGGGAACAGGTCATTCACGAGCCGGAGGAGATCTCGACGGTTCCGATCCCGCAAGGTCGCAGTCTCGGCGCGATCGACGATGCTGCATCTTGGCATACTCAAGAGGAATCATGCGGCAACTCGAGTTCTGGTGGCTCAGCCTCGGGAAGCTTTACCGGAAGCAAGGAGATGTCTCTGGACAACGAATTCGCCGACACCGCAAGGCTGCTCAACCTCGCGAACAAGACCGTCTTACTAGCGGATGATTCCGTGGATCTGCGCATTTATATCAGCTCTATTCTTTCCAAGACGTTCAATGTCGTCCAGGTCGCGGATGGTCAGGCTGCATTGGACCATGTACTGAAGCACCCGCCATCTTTAATCATTGTAGGTTTCGCGAGCGGCGTCGTCTTTGGTGGTGTCAGCTCGCTGAAGCCTTCTCGATGCAGACGGACCAAATGATGCCTCGTCTGACTGGAAATGAGCTCGTGGCCGCCGTCCGGGCCAACCCGGCTACCAGTCTCATTCCGATCATCATGCTCAGTGCGCAGGCCGGCACTGAAGCGCGAGCTGAAGCACTCGAGCGCGGGTGCGACGATTATCTTGTCAAACCTTTTCAAGCCCGCGAACTGCTCGCTCGTGTCAACGTGCACATGCAACTCGGTTTATTGCGCGTGGAACTGGAGAAACGAGGTTTGTTTGATCAATTTTTCGCCCATCCTACTCTTACTGACTTTATCTTACTGTCTTATTTCTTCAGTCCAAGAGCGCACACGAGCGTTGATAGATTCCGAAACGCGGAACCGGGCTCTGGCCGAGAAGTTCCTAACCTTGTCTACCGTCTCGCCTGTTGGCATCATGCAAGCCGATGCCGAGGGTCACATTGTCTACGCGAACCCGCGCTGGTTCGAAATGACGGGCTATCCTGTCGACCGCCTAGTCACGAACGCATGGACGGAGTGCCTAGAAGACTCACGTGAGCTAAACGAAGCGTGGCAGGCCGCTGTTATGGCTGGACACTCGAGCGAGATCATTGACTTCAAGGCGATCGAGATTGGCACCAAGACGGGTCAAACAATGCTCTTTGAGGTAGGCCACAGAAGCCAGTATCTCGACTCGGGTTTCGTCGGCACTGACATGTTTATCGGTTATGCTGTCACAGATTCGAGCATTCTCTGGCGCCAAGGACGGCTTCGTGGCTGTCTTGACAGACATCACACGGCAAAAGATGATCGAGCGCGAGCACTTGCAGATCGTTGAGCAACGCGCCGCCGACGCTGAAGAGAACAGGCGCAACACCGAGATGTTCCTGGACTTGAGCTCGCACGAGATGAGGAACCCTTTGTCCGGCGTGTGGCAAAACGCCCAAGTGCTCAGCGGATCGCTGGAACAAATTTCGGGCGTCATCGACGATCTGTGTGCCGGTCGGACCCCTCCTCAGGCCATCCTCGAGAATGTGCGACGGGAGATGCAAGAGAATGCCGACGCGGTAGATTCGATTATCCTCTGCGCGAGTCATCAGGGCCGCATCGCCGACGACATTCTCAATGTTTCCAAGCTCAACATGGGCCTCCTGTCGATCAACCCGGTGCCCTTTGATTTGACGCTTCGTATGGGCGAGGTTTTGCGCATGTTCGAGATGGAATGCTCCCAAAAGGGAATTTCCTTGCGTATGGACGTGGACGAGTCGATTGCGAAGCTGCGCGCATCATGGATCGAAGCCGACCCGTCGCGACTGTCGCAGATTCTCCTCAACTTCGTTTCCAACTCGGTCAAGTACACCTCCGACACTCCGGAACGTCGGATCGTGGTTCACCTCAACGCATACGACACCCGGCCCCCTACCCGGCGCAATGCCCTGCGCGTGTCCGAGCCCTCCCTGGACCTCGTTCCCCCCCACAACGTATGGATTGTGGTCGGTGTCGAGGACACAGGCAAGGGTCTCTCGCAAGAGGAAATGAAGCGGCTCTTTGCTAGATTCCAGCAGGTTAACCCTCGTAGTGATCAGTACGGTGGTTCGGGCCTGGGGTTGTTCATTTCGAGCGAACTTGTGGCTCTGCACTCGGGCTACATCGAAGTGGAATCTGTTCCAGGTCAGGTAAGTCTCTTCTTCTCAAGGTCTTGCTTACCCCGGCCCTCTCGTCGCGTCGTGTGCTGACCCCGTCGTGTCTGTCTTGCACATTTTAGGGATCTATGTTCCGATTCGCGATTCCAGCAGGTACTTCACAGCCACCCGTGACCGTCGACGCGCTCCTGCCGCCTGTGCCTCTGACCACCGTTGCCATGATGGCGCCGCCTCAACGGACGAAACGGGCAGCACCGCCCCGATCATCTCTCAATGGCGACCAAAACAGCTCTCACAAAGTGGCCAGGCTAGGGGAATCGGCGGAAGAGGGAGAGCTTCCCAAACGAATCCTTGTTGTGGAAGACAATCTCATCAACCAGAAAGTCATGACACGGCAGCTCAAACTCGCTGGCTACGGGGTCACGGTTGCCAACCACGGACGTGAGGCTCTCGACATCTTACTTGCGGAAAGTACTCGCACGAACCACCACGAACAAGGGCCGATAGTGATGGTTCTGATGGACATTGGTCAGTTCCTCCATGCCCCTCCCTTCGTCCGGTTGCTTGGCGCTGTACTTACTGGCTACCTTGATCATTGTTCGTCTCTGTTCAGAAATGCCTGTGATGGGAGGACTGGAGGCCATCCGGCTTTTGCGTGAAATGGAGAAAAGTGGTCAAATCGCAAACCGTTATGTGAGTTCCAGAATCGTGAACTTCACAAAAGTGGTACTCAAGAGGGATAGAGCTGAATTCGTAGCTGATACTCTGCTGCTCCGACAGAATGTCGTGGCTGTGACCGGGAATGGTCGGCCGAGTCAGACGGACGAGTACAGCAGAGTCGGATTCGACTCATGGGCTGTCAAGCCTTACATCTTTGCCGACTTGTTGGTTCAGATCAAGAGCTATGTGGGAGCCTGATATGCTGGTGCGCGACGCACGCCAATGTCAAAAATTCCTATCTACTCCATTTGGTGTGTGATCTGTCTTGTATCGCATAGTATTCCTTTTCATGTTATAGTAGTCGCTCTCATGTAGAATGTCGTATGATCTCGCTGATATGAAGCGCATGGCCCGACTTAGGCATCCGTCTTGGCCCAAATTCAAGTTCTAACTCATAGGGAGTAGAATGGCAAGTGACGCGTACTATTTCTCCCTTGTTTCCTCCCTTCACCCCTGTCATTTCTCCCTTGCAGGAGACGCACTCCCCCCTCCCTCCTCTCTCAGAATTTTACCTCTCCCTTTGGATTGTCGTACAGGTGCCTAGGTGAATTGCTGTGTGGATGATAGGTTGTGCATGAAATTTGCAAATGGTTTGACCTGTGGTCATGTATAGACGAGACTATTGTTCTCTGCAAACCTACTGGCAGAGGTCGACAACGTCACTTGGTGCGGTTTGGCGGCACCGAATAGAGGCAAATAGGTATGTGATAGAACCAAAACTAGGAAGGAGCCCCAAAGCAAAACGAAGGGTGACCACTTGGTGCCTACGTGCGTAGCAATGAGCACGAAAGAATTTCGGGGATTTCGATCGTCGATCGATACCAAAGCCGGAACTCTGATCAGCGCAGGAAAGAGGCACAGCATTTTCAGAGCACTGCATGGGGAGAGTTGAGAAGGTACCTCGGTTGCAACCGTGCAGGGATATTGCAGCGTAAACCACATGAAAAAGTAGTTATGCTGCTGTACAAAGAAAGTGTCCCGGGAAGCTAGGTCTGGTTGTTTGGTTGTTTCTGCCGAAAAGGAATCAAGGATCCGGATGCCGAGAGCCTCAATTTACTTCCGATACTCCGCCGATTCCGATTAGAGGAGCCACAAGTAGTTGGGCACAAACCTCGGGCCTTGGCACACGTTGTGACTCGCAGAACAACTCAGCGTTAATATTAAAACCACGAAGAGAGTCCGCACCCCCTGTTTACTCGTTGTCCATCCGTACCGACCAGGCATCGAAGAAATCGCTACGTGCTCCTATGCAGCGTCCTCACTTCTGCACGTTGACGGCCTTTTACGTCCTACTCGTGTCTGATACATCTTCAATCCTATAAACCTATTTGTTGGGATATCCACCTCCCCCTTGCTTTAAGCTTCAAGCACGCCCTTGACCCTCGCAGCCCCTACCCCCACTCGGTACGAGGTAAGACTCTCCTGGGAACGCGCTGAGGATGTGCACGGCCCGCCTTTGAAAAGGCCCACCGAATAGGCTTAAGTCTGGACACCGAATCTCTGCAGTGTCGGAGGCGACGACGACTACGAAGGCTGTTCAGGCCGAAATGGGATCAAACAGAAAAGTTGAAATTCACCATGCAAGTGTGTGGGGATTGTTGTTTCGTTCATGGGTCCAATCGGTCCCAGGAAGGCCGCTTTCACCAAAAGCAAAAGATGAGACCGCAGCCCGACACGACGACGTCGGTCCTGGAACCAGGACCGAACGAGTTTCTGACTTATCATGGGGACCGCGGGCTCACTGGGATCGCTTATTGTATGTAGATGACGTTGATAATTGGGGAACGACTACATTGAGTAGCGCGGGTGTTTCATGATCACCGCTGCAGCTCTGGATAATCCGTCTCAGCGAAAATTCGATCTGCTTCAGTATGCTCAGCTCGCCTTGGGAAATTGGAAGTGCAGAGTGTGGAAAGATCTCGGTTTGTCATAAAATTGGGTCATACCTGCTGGGCCTCGGACTTCATTTGACTGCCAAAGACATTCGACTCCTATGCCTGCAGACCGCTCGGAATTCTGGCTCGCTTCCGCGTTTCTGAGAGTCAAGGGATCGTCCGGACAATGAGACTGCTTCAAAAAAAAAAAGGTGGTATAGATATTAAGGTATCAGTGAAAGTTGTGAACACTCGTACTGCAGGCGGGTCTGAGGTGCAGGGACTCGTCGCCGCTCCGCGGTGCATGCATTACTAATCGAAGGCTGATCCGGGACCCTTAGCCCTATAAGCTGGATTGCGACGGCGTTGAAACGAGGTCGGGCCAGCCCGAACAAAGCACAAGCGGCTGCAAGAGCCCAGTGGAATAACGACCACGGAATCAATTGCAGCGATCTTTGCTTCGAGGTGATCCCAAATGCTCAAACTTCTACTGGGAATCGAAAGAGCTCGATCAAGACAGTATTCGTGCCGTATGAGGGGTTTTAAGTTTTAAGTCATAAATTCCAGCTAGTCTTGTTCAAAGACAGAATCTAACAAACGCTAGATCCGGTGGCACGTTGGACTCGACGTGTGCACGGTCCCATGTTTGTGAAACGCGTCGTATTCGCACGCGGCGCCGACGGGGTCAGGTGGACGCTTAAGCGCTCAAGCGCTCAAGCTCTGCTTGGGTTTTGTGACTCGTTCGAAGAGTTTTGAGATTACATCGCACACACCAGTGGGGATGACATTCAAGAAGCTTCCCTGCCATCGGATGTTGCAATCTGTAAGCGCACGGTGCGCACCTCAATCTGAAACTGAACAAACCCCTGAGGCACACGTGTCTTCGAATTAGGCGCCTGTCTTACCTGCCAGATGACTCGAGCGGGTTCATTCCTCCCTGTTCCTCCCGCAGAACGATGCGTGCCTCTGCTCACCCGGTCGGTCCAGTAGCGCTTAACTTCTTCCTCTCACCTCGGCCGTCTACTACTCTGTGTTCTCGGACGTGAGCTGTCTGTCACCCTTTAAGGGCCAACGGATCTATGAACTGACCCCCTTTCTCTACGACAGGCTGCGCCTAAATCTCAACCGCCGCATTCGCTCCTCTCACATTTCTAACCAACCTCCCCTATCAATCACCACACATCGTGTGTATATCTTGGTTACCGATGAGATTGCTCACTTCCCAAATTACGCTGTGCTTGTTGGTTCTGGTCACCTCAACGCTAGCGTTCCACGTCACCAACTTGTTTCCCGACTTGAGTGTCGACGCTCATCGAACGGTCCCTCCATCGAACCGAAGGCATCACCGCTGCCTCGCACACTCGGCGAGGCACAATAATCACAAGAAGTGTAGACACGGCAGAAGAACTGGGCGCAAACACTTCGATCAAACAAAGCTGGCGCACACGCAGGGTCATCTAGCCCACCGCAACCGCCGCAAAAAACCGGCCACCGCGAGACTTGGCAAGAAACGGCCTGTTTCTCATGTGGACCCTAATCACAAGCGACCCGAGCATGACCAAAGCAACCCACCGACCATTCCGACCGGACCCACTTTGCAGCAACCAGAATCATCCGGAGTTCAAGTGCCCGAAACACCGGCCGGCAAGACGCCCCCTGAAAGACAAATACCCGACGGGAAGGACCAGGTCTCAGAAATCCAAGCGCTCGCTCTCGAGAAGATCAATGAGTTCCGTGCCCTCCACAACGCACCTCCCCTTCAGACCTCCCTCGAACTCGTGCAGAACGCAGTGGAGTGGACTTCGAAATGCCACTACGGACACACTCCCGGTGCCTTCACGGGAGCATACGGCGAGATCATCGCCCGGACCTCGGGGTGGCTTCCGGGTAGCATGTCGGAAGCGATCAAGCTCTGGACGGTGGACGAGGAGAAAGATTTCGATCCTAAAAACCCACAGGTCTCCCACTTCACTCAGGCCGTATGGAAGGGATCGAGATATTTGGGATGTGCTTCGAGCGATAAGTGTAATAACCCAGTGGACCACTCGACGACCGTCACTGGTGACGGGGTCCCGAAGGACGAGCAGGACAGCGTCTTGTACATTTGCCGATTCCTGCCGGCGGGGAACCTCAATGACAGAGCTGTGGGTATCATCTTGCTCAAGGGTTTTGCAGACTGGCCCTGAGTCCAAATCGTATTAACTGACGCTCACCAACGATTTTTCATTCAATTTGACAGACCATCATTGCCAACGTCCAGCTCGCGAAGGGCCCCCATCACCAATAGCTGCCACAGTGTGATGTCCGTGCCTCTCGTCTTCGTTTCTCTCCCCTTTGAGTTATCTTATGGGTCTGGCACCCGAGCTTCATGTTCTTTCGCTTCTGTCGTGAATGCCAGAGCATCATTCATCGAAACTGCAAGGTGTGGGAACTTGACAGGTCAATTCGATGTTTTTATCTTTCGGAAAAGGGTAGCTACACAGTGCCAGGTAAACCGAGAGGAAGGGCACAGGTGGAAAAGCATCAGAGGGGAAACGGCGATCATGGGACGAAAGTGTTGCTACGATGTGGAGGCGAACAAAGATGAGAAAACATGGGGACGAGAGTCTCAGGGGAAACAAGGACAAGTTCATATGGGACAATGATCTGGAAGACGCCGAAACAAGTCGGGTTGACGCTGGTCTACCGAACGACAGTGACGCCTAGCAGCTTCGATGCTTTGTCCATGTTGCCTTGCGATCCGGCCCATGCTCCTGTACTCCCACCGTCATCATCTCCATCCTCGTCATCATCGCCAAGCGAGAACGGCTTCTTCGCAGAAGAGTTCCACCCAGTCGGGACCTCGGCACGATCGTGGTAAATAGGAAGAATGCTAGGCCCGTCCGTCCCAGCCGTTCCAGCCAAACTCGAGATCCTCTGACTCCTTCCCGCACTCCCACTTTCCCCCGCACCGCCCGACGCCGATACTCTTCTCGACCATTCTGCACTTCTTCTCACTTCTGCTCCTTCGACAACCTCTTCTTCGGCCGGTTCGTCAACCGCGGCTTGCTCGAGGTCCTGTTTGTAGTATCGCTTCATCGCGACCGGAACGAGTACGGCGACGATGATTCCTCCTAGACCCAAGCCGTTTTGCCAAGAGATGAGATGGAAGTCGGAAGAGGAGGTCATTTGGTCCAGCGTCGTACCAATCGTGACGTGGATGTACGAAACGCCCATGATGCCGAAGAAAGTCGAAATCCAGAACTTGTAGACCGAGATGCCCAAATGCGGCGCCACGACATTGACAACCCAGTGGGGGGGCAGGGGGGCGATACTGGGAGGGGGCAGTGCGTCCAGTCAGTGGTGCGCCTAAGGGCTTCCGAGGAGAGCCAATACAGCTCATACTTACCGGAGCACGATGAGGTAAGAGATGAGGTTGTCGTTGTGCTTAGACACGCGGGCGGTCCAAGCGTCGACCCTGCGTTGCCACTTTTCGGAATTGAGCAAGACCGCGGGCCCTAGAGCTTGCGAGATGAAGTAACACAACAACGCGCCCGTAGCGACGCACTGCGGGAGGAAATGGTGAGAGGATCCGTGGCGGAGTTAGCGATGTGAACTCGACGAGCTGGAGGGAAGAGCGCATAGCGGGCGAACTGACGAGACAAACTAAGGGCAAGGCCATGAGACCGTACAGTGCGCCACCTAGGATCGAAAGATACATGCTACCCGGAATGGAAAAGGCTTGTAGGCTATGATGCGGAGCAAATCGGGTGTGTCAGAGAACTTGCAGGACGTTGTGGGGCTTATCCGTTCGAAGGAGGAACTCACAACATGTAAACAGTGACGTAGCAACCCAACACTCGGTTGTAGTGCCGTTGCTTGTAGATCTATCAATAGCCAAACAACTCGTTGTTCAGCACAGGTACATAGGTTGCAATGCGAGACGCGGGCACGCACCTGGAGTACGACATTAAGCGCCTTGAGATCGTCAAAGCTTTTCGGCAGCTTGACCGCGCTCTCGTGCTCCTCGTCGATCGGTGGAAGCATCGTCTTGAGCAACACGTAGAGTGCCACGAGCGAACACAGGAAGAGTGCACCGGCCTTGAGCCCGGCGTGCAACATGGGCCGTCGTTCAGCAAACGAGGCGCCCCCGAGATGCAACGAGGACGGAATCGAGCGCAACGACGAATCGGAGCGTTGCCTCGACAGCAAAGGTCGGTTCGCTTGTTTGTTGGCCTCCTCTGCGCGCGAGAGTACCGTCTTCTTCGGAGCGGGTCGTACGTGGTCCGAGGGTGAGGGCGGCAAGGGTACACCTCCGAACGTAGACGCTCGCGGACGAGAGTGGGCGTCTGAACTCGCCCCAGAGCCGGAGCCGGACTGGTCCTTACTCGCGGATGACGCGAGGTCGATGACGAATTTCGGGTTACCTCTCTTGTACGGGTCCACATCGCCGCGAGCGGAGTGGTCGTACCCGTTGACGTCGTCGTCGTCGCTGCTCGTGGCCGGAGTCTTGGGGCCCCGGATCGTCCGGAGCGTGTGCTGACTCGTACTGAGCTGCAACGGACTGCCCCTGCCATGCTCGGGGGAGGCACTCCATCGACCCAGCTTGTCGGCGACCACGTTCGATCCGAGCGGTCTGTTCAAGGCCACGTTGCTGCCGTTCGTGCCAGTGAGCGAGCGACTTGACGTGGAAGCGCCGGTGATCGACAGCGGTGCAGCGGCGACATGGATGGGCTCGCGTGACGCGGACGAGACCGTCGACGAGCGCGAGCGGGTCGTCCTCGGGGCTGCGTAGCTGCTCATCGTGGAATTGGCGTGGCTTGGGGCCGTCGGGTGACTACAACGCGTTCGGTCGGTGACGTCGGAGAGAGAGAGAGACGACAGAAGGGAGGACGACGCGGACACGAGAGGCGAGAGAGAGCCACCAGGCACGAGCTCGACCTAGCTCGACCTCGGACGAGGCGAGGCAAAGGCGAATAGAGGCGAATACTGTACGGGCCTATACGGGCTCGACTCACTCGGCCAGAACTGTGGGGTGGCGCGCTCGGGCGCGCTTCGGCGGTGTACTGACCATTACGGACCCTGCAGGCCTTGTCGCCTCTCGCACCTTGGCGACGTCTGAGACATGCACCGGACTCAGCCGGCCGACCCGCTCCCAGATGAAAAGTGATCGGATCTCAAATGAACACTTCTGGTGCACTTCCTTCTCGCCTTTGTAAGCTTCTAATGAGATTATTTGTATTGGAAAGATTCTCTGTCAGACAAGCTCCTGAGACCGAGGTGCAATAATATTTAGTGCCGCTGGCAGCTCCCGTCTGCAAGAAGTTACCACTCGCCTGGGAGAGAGCCTGATTGGCGGATGAACGTGCCCGGCCGGCCCCGCGCGTTCAATAGAAGCGGAATGAATGAATAATTTTTACCTCAAATGGTTCAATGGGCGAGTGTAAGTGATCCCTGGAACTCTTTAGAGCTGTAAATCCCGGTCTGAAAAATCTCGGGGTGCCAGCCTGGAAATGACGCCGTCTGAGCTTTTATTGGACGAAATGGCTGAGATATCCCCGACGCGCGCGGCTTCTGAAAAGCAATAGGAGAGCCTGGTTTACAATGTGCAAGGGGGTGCCTTATACAGCCCTATACGTAGCCTCTGAGTAGCTAAGACTATCGTATTATAGTTAAGTCTAGCGGTCAAGAACGACATATGGTATTTATACACATCAGAGGCGCATACCTTACAGCAGTGTTGCCATCCTGGCAGCGGACCAGCGGTGTTAGGGGCTGAACAGCAATATCACACCCCGTGATCAATCCCGCGCCACCTCCTCGAAGTCTTTATTTTTCACGCACTCTCATCTAAATCTGGCGACACTAAGTCTCGTTCGGGGGCAACCCTCAGCACCATGTCCCGGCCGAAAGGTCGCCAGGGTGGGCCACCTCGGGCTCACCAAGTCTTGGTCGCGAGGGTAGCGCCACTGCGCCATGCCAGGGGCTTTGTCGCTCTTCGAGCGTCTCGTGTCGGCCAAGTAATACGAATACGACGAGCAGTCTCTACTGAATGACGTTTTGTGCCGATCTCTGGGCATATGATAAATGAGTTTGGTTTGGGCTGGGGGCGAACATCCCCGCGACACGGCCCCGCGAAGAAACCGGCCGGCGGCGGGGCAGCGCAAGCGAGGGGAGGCAAAATCGAGAAGGCGGACGGGAAAGCAAAACTTCCGAAGTTCCGAGAGAGCGACAGGCGATGTTGTCTACCTCGTCACCTTCTACCGCGGTTTCAGGTTCAACTTTGACATCGGCTTTGGCCCCGACTATGACACCACTCTAAGCTCGACACCCCGCGGACGGAGAACCGCTCGTGCCCGACGCAATTTGGGTGAGCGTGGCAACCGCAGACCTCGTGGAGCCAGCAGCATCGCTTTTTGAAGACTACGCAACAGTGCCTAACGACTCTGATCATCCGATATTCGAACAGGTCCACATGCTGCCGCCCCCTCCGACAAACCTATTCACTGGTGGCAGTTCTTCGAAAAAGTTCTCCGTTAGTCCAACCAAGCCAAGACAAGGCCACCTGTGTCATTTGTGGGAATCTTCGGATGAGCTCCGGCTGTCCAGGCTATAGCCACATCTCTCTCGGTCTCGTCGGTTTCTTCGTCGAGCGCAACGTCAAGACTTCTCTGGAAGAGCTTGTTCAACATTAGCTCAATCTATACGACAGCGACTTCCGATGCTACCCGCCTTTCCCCTTCACCGCCTCGATTATGCTGCGCCGACGAGACGTGTTCCGCAACCTCGCTTTTCGGATTCCCAAACAGGAGGTGGCTCGAATCGCAGGAATACTGCTCGGAATCGACCAGGATATGTGGTAAAACCATCCTGGTCGCCTTAACCAGTACACCAAAAGTGAAGGCACCTACAAGGGATGCATGCACTGAAAACTCTTTCAACAATATGTTGGCGGAAACGGTCAAAAAACGCAGAATGTGAACCTGAACCTTGAACTTGGATCTAATCCAGAATACAATCATTCATGTTCTCATGAGTATGCTGATCTGACAATCTTACGTCATGGTTCTTGTTGCAGGCTCACCCCCCCCCCCGGTCGCCCGAGCAAGAGCCATCACCGGTCAAGAGGTCCATCACCGTCGCCGATCTTGACTGACATCGATCGGCCTTGGCCCTCCCAAAGAACGTGAGTCGCTGCCGGTAGTTCTCCCGATCTCACAACGATTACTGAAAAGTCATTCAGACAGGGACTAGTATGATATGTGATATGGCGAGGTCAAGTAATTATAATGCACTTCCACCCCGATTCCGATTTGAGCTCTTTCAGTAGTCTGCAACGTTCATTAACACCTGGCACATACTTACACGACTCGCTGTGCAAATTGCGACTCGCTAACCGAATGTTGCACGCCCGATCGGCGGCACGTTCTGGATACCTGACATTACTGTCAGTCCGTGCTCTGTCAGAAGATCAGAGATCTGTCGCCTCCTCCGGGAGCGCGTCCTGCCTGAGTCATGAGGATCTGCAAACTGTGCAAAGAGGAGCAGAATGGCCCCGATTTAAGAAGCGCCACCGTGGTCGCCCGTATCTTAGGGCCTAGACTTGGGAGGCTCGAGATGATTACCCTTCTCACGGACGAAAGTTATCAACGACGTCATCCCTTTTATCCCTCGCCACGGATCCGCGCATACCACTAGGGAACCCCGGGGTTTTTTGAGGCTGCGGCGGATTTGCCGAAGTTGAGCAGGATCCCAGTGCCCACTCTGCCGAGCAATTGACGACTTGGCGTGCCCTCCCCAGCTTCTCGGTGGACCGAACCGAAGCGTAGCTCCACACCGATATCTACAGACGCCATAGGCCCTCCAATCATCCTGAGTCGACACCCGCGCTGAACACACTCAAAATCTTGCCAGCCATCTTGCCGTCCATACCATCCGAGCCGGAACGCGCACGCATTTCACTTTGGCCGCAACACCACCGCTGATGTGATCCGTATCCATCTTGATATTCTCAAAAACGATCTACTTCTAAAACCTTATTTCGCTTCTCCCTTCATCACCCCGTCTGACACGCTTCATAACCCCAACTCGTGTTCGTCCTCGTCCATACTCGCGTCCAAATCTAAGCCGAGGCCTTGTGGCTGTGAAAAGTTGGCGGACCAATCAACAGATCACGAATGATGAGTCATCGAAAGAAGCTGGATGTAAGTGTTAGAGAGAGAGGCTCGATGCTTACATTTGGTAAGACGCGGCGAGGAAGGGGGTAGCGAACCCGAGGCCGCAGAAGGCGATCATCCTGATGGCCAAACCGGAACCGGACTTGTAACCTGTGGTATGGAACGAATGGTTGTACGGTGAGCAGATTGTTGGATTGAACAGGGGTCGAGATAGGGCCGGCCGATCTGCTCCGCTACAGCCCCTGGGGTTGTGGTGTTGATGACCTACTGAAGGGGTGGTTCTGTTGCACAGTATACAAACACAGTGTCAGTGAATGCACAAAGCTAGGAAGGCTAAGCCATACCCTCTCAAGGTGTGAAAGAGTGACGGCACAAGTGGCAGGCGGCGGGAGGCGTTCGGAAGTACTCACATTGCCCACGACGTTGTCGACGTGCAGCGAACGCATCTGTTGGCGTTGGACACTGGCGAGAGGGGTTCGCATCGCACGGAGAGCAGGTCGGGCAGCGGCGGACAGCATGATTGTGGCTGGGGGTAGTTCGGCGATCGAGTGTTCGCAACGGGTGACGCGGTAACGGGCGGGACACAGAGAGCAGCGGAGAGCAGCCTAGAGCAGCAGCGGTGCTTCAGGGCGCTTCCCCTCCGCGGCAGTCCGCCGGCTGGTTGGCTCACGGCTGCAGACGTGCAGACGGCTGCTGCTTACGTGCTCACGTCTACGCTCGTCTAGCTCATCCTAGCACATCGTTGGCGCGGAGCAAGTCGTGCATCGGGTCCGAGGCGATCGTATCGCGTACTTGGCCACCGCGGAAACAGCGATTCGAGTGGGTTCTATCAAACTACTGCACTGCATATGATGCGCTCTTGAAGAGCCGAGATCCGATCCGGTACAGAAGCGAGCTTCAAGCTCTTCCGGACGTTGGATTTCACGGTCTGAGCCGTCGTCTACAGACATTCGCAACCATGTCTGTACGAAATACTACTACAACTACCACGGCGTCGGCGGCTACGTCGTCCCAGCCCAACATGTGCGAATAGGTGCCCTCGTAGACGCCTTCGTCTGGGGCTGCTCAGCCCGTTGCTTGAACTCGCTCACACGATTCGTGCGTGTGCACATCTTGATCTGACCACAGTGGAAAGAACCGATCCTCCTCCTCAACTATCATCGCCGCCTCGACCGTCGCCTCCTTCATCGTCCTCCTCATCGCCTCGATCCTTCTCTTTTTCAAGATCACCAAAATCCTCCGTAGCCGACGCGAGCTCAAACGACGCCAAGAGGCCTTACGAAGGGCCGGGGCGAGGGGCGGTATGAACGACGCTGATCTCAAGTCGCAGCAACGCGCTCGGAATGGGTCGACGAGGGGGAGGAACGCGTTTGAGGAGAATGAGTGGGAGGGGACCCCTGTGAGTAACCCCAGGCTGTTCGGCCAGATATAATTCGCTTAGGACATCCCTACGTTGATTACTGGAGATGCACAGCTTGCTGACATTTTTCGTTCTCATCCGGATGGAATTAGGCTTGAATAGGAAATGTTGGCAAAGCTACGTGCGCCGATCCACTTAATGATGCCCAGGCCCAGAATTGGCAGGATGCAACTCGGCGATGAAGCCCGAGCCCGACGTCGAAAAGTCAGGAATCAAATCTGAAGCAGGAGTCCGGATCTTTGGTCTTTGGCCCTAGACTGAAGCTTCAGTTCTCTGAGCTTGGGTTCGATCGTGTCGGGTGCGAGGCGTTGCACCGTATTTGGCTAGCACTGTGGCTAGCATTGTGGCCAGCATTGTGGCCCCAGCATATGAGCCTTCCTGGGGTGTGCAGCATCGAGCTCGGCGACCGGCGATCTCGAATATGTGTTGTTTCCTAGCAGTCCGCCGCCATGATACCGACAGATTCTGTAATTCTACAGTAGTGTTGATGTCGTTGTACCAGAACTCAGATCGTCTTTGCTAGTAGCCGGTACTGAGCGTGCCTCTCCATGTCCACATCGGGGCTTACGGCTGGTCTGCCAAACTTGGATAGACCTGGAAGGACCTGAGACTGGATAGACCTAACAGGACCAGAATCTACCTGAATCCCTCGGCTCGGCTCGGCTCGGCTTCGGCTATGTCTGCAGCCGTGGCGCGCGGCTCACCGTTTGCCTGCCCTCACTCTCCCTCTCCTCCACCTCTCTCTGCTAACACCCTCCTACACAACATGTCAGAGGTCAGTTCCACTGCCCGTTTTTTGTGTCGGCGATATTCCTGCCGGACGGACTATCCTGCTTGTGCTGGCGGCGCTAGCCAGTGCTCCTGCGGCCCAGCGCTGCCACGAGTCGGCGGGGATTACCCCGCTTCCCCGAGGACGACCTTGGCGGTTTGACCGGCTTGCCCATCGGGTCGTCGCTTGGGTGGACTCCCACCGTCTTCCTAAGGCAAAGCTGGAGTGTCACGGTGGACATCAGGGACGAGTGCTGGCTGTGCTCGATGGGGTCTGCCCCGTGGCCTCTCCGTGGGTGGTGGTGCACGGGGCTGCCGTGACGTTGCGCTCTGTCGATGCGGCGTGAAACCGTTCACCTTGGACCCGAGCTCGCTCGAGCTGCCACGCGGGGTCTCGCACTCGAGCCTATCCCGAGGCTGAGCCTCAACGCTCGTGGGAGGAATAGTACTGTTGCCAAACTTTATCGTCGGATCGAGGTGGACCATGTTGCACATCGACATTGCACTTCACGCCACCCGTGCCCCTCGCTTAGCCGGCTACCTGTTCAAACTCAATTCACTGACTTCCTGTACGATCCTTGCCCTTTTCATGCCTTTGCGACATCCAATGTATTTTTGAACGGTGGTTCGGCCAACAGCTACAATACAAGGATAAGGTCGTGATCGTCACCGGTGCCGGTGGCGGACTCGGCAAAGCTTGTAAGCGGTCGGCGATCCTTCTCGCGCCGCCGAAAAGTTCTGACGACTCCTTCCTTCCCACCCGCCTTCCTCTTGCGCAGACTCGGTCTTCTTCGCTTCGCGCGGTGCCAACATCCTCGTCAACGATCTCTCGAGGGAGAACGCCGACAAGGCCGTCAAAGAGATCAACGATGCCGGCAAGGGCCAAGCGATCGCCAACTACAACTCGGCGACTGAAGGCAACGCGATCGTCAAGCAGGCCGTTGACAAGTGGGGTCGAGTCGATATCCTCATCAACAAGTTGAGTTTTCTCATCTCTTCGAGCAGGCTCTGTTGTCATCCGCACCTTATGGGGCTGATCTGGGCATCTCGTTCTCGTCCTACAGCGCAGGTATTCTTCGTGACAAGTCGTTCGCTTCCATGACCGACAAGGAGTGGGACAGCATCCACGACGTTCACGTCCGAGGCGCTTACGCCTGCACCAAGGCCGCCTGGCCCCTGATGCGAAAGCAAAAGTATGGTCGCATAATCATGGCAAGTCATCTGGAACAGTCTCCAGTCTCGAGCTTAGCTGATGTAGGGGCAACTTTGGCTCCTGACCGCAGACCGCCTCGGCTGCCGGTATCTACGGCAACTTTGGCCAAGCCAACTACTCGTCGGCCAAGCTTGCTCTCGTGGCCTTTGCCAAGACGCTGGCCCGGGAAGGTGCCAAGGTGAGCCAAAGAGAAAAACGTGCCGAGTAAGGGCTGCGAGGCGCGTGCTGACAGCTCTCACTGCCGTTCACGCCAGTACAACATCCACGCCAACGCCATCGCCCCCGTCGCGGCTTCGCAAATGACCGAGACCGTGATGCCCCCCGAGATGCTCGCCAACCTCTCGCCCGAGATGATCGTACCCCTCGTCGCTTACCTCTGCCACGACCAGACCGAGGACAACGGCAAGCTGTTCGAGGCCGGTGCCGGATGGTACGGTCGAGTGCGCTGGGAGCGATCCAAGGGTGTTGTCTTCAAGACCGATGACACCTTCACCCCCGCGGCCGTCAAGGCCAAGTGGGAGCAGATCAACGACTTCTCCTCCGGCTCCACCTTCCCCGAGAACATCACCGATGCCAATTACCTCGAATACCTCGAGGAGGCCAAGAGCATCAAGAAGAACGAGACCGACGGCGAGGTGCGCTTCGACGGCAAGACCATCTTGGTCACCGGTGCCGGTGCCGGTCTCGGTCGAGCCTATGCGCTGATGTACGCCAAGCTGGGTGGCAGCGTCGTCGTGAACGACATGAATAAAGAGGCCGCCGATAGCGTCGTCAAGGAGTGCGAGAAACTCGGGGGCAAGGCTCTTGCCGTTGTGTGCTCGGCCGAGGAAGGCGAGAAGCTCGTCAATGCCGCGGTTGAGAAGTTCGGATCTCTCCATGGTGAGTTGGCGTGGTCCGTTCAGAGGGAGGCCGTCTTCGTGATACTGAACAGAGCTCTCCCACCCCGCAGTCGTTGTCTGCAACGCTGGTATCTTGCGCGACAAGTCCTTCGCCGCTCTCACTGACGAGGAGTGGGACTTCGTCTACAACGTTCACGTGCGAGGTACCTACTCGGTTTGCAAGGCCGCATGGCCCATCTTTCGCAAGCAAAAGTACGGCCGTATCGTCAACACGTCATCCTCGGTCGGTGTCCACGGCAACTTTGGTCAAGCCAACTACTCGACCGCCAAGTCGGCAATTTTGGGCCTCACCAAGACGCTCGCTATCGAAGGCAAGAAGTATGGCATCATCGCCAACACGCTCGTCCCCAACGCGGGTACCAACATGACCCGCACGATCTGGCCCGAGGAGATGGTCCAGGCCTTCTCGCCCGCCTTCATTGCCCCAGTCGTCGGCTACCTCACCTCGGAGGCTAATGAGTCGACACTCGGTCTCTACGAAGTCTCGGGTGGGTGGTGCGCCGCTTACAGATGGCAACGATCGTACGGTCACGCGTTCCCCATCAACACCAAGGTCACAGTCGAGAAGCTCAAGGCCAAGTGGGACGTTGTGAACAAGTTCGACAACAAGGCCACGAACCCCAACTCGACCGCCGAATCGCTCGAGTCAATTATTGACAACTTCTCAAACGAGTCCGAGTCGTCCTCCGACGAGAATGGCGATGACGACTACTCGGACCCCGAGGACTCGGAGATTGTCAAGAAGGCGAAGGAGTCGGCCAAGGAGACGGGCGAGTACACCTTCACCGAGCGCGATGTGGCTCTATACAACCTCGGTATCGGTGCGACGGAGAAGGAGGTCGAGTTCACCTTCGAAGGCGACAGTGACTTCCGTCCGATTCCGACGTTCGGTGTCATTCCCCAGTTCGCCACCTCCTCCGGCTTGCCCATGGATTGGCTGCCCAACTTCTCGCCCATGATGCTCTTGCACGGCGAGCAATACTTGCAGATCAAGGGCAAGATCCCAACTTCGGGCACGCTCACTTCCGCGGCACGCTTGTCCGAGGTACTCGACAAGGGCAAGGCCGCGGCCGTCACCTCGATCACGACGACCAAGGACTCGGAGGGCAACGTCATCTTTGAGAACCAATCAACCGTCTTCATCCGAGGCGCCGGTGGGTTCGGTGGCAAGAAGACGGGCAAGGATCGTGGTGCTGCAACCGCGGCGAACAAGCCTCCTTCGCGCAAGCCCGACCACGTCGAGGAGGAGAAGACGTTGCCGATCCAAGCCGCTTTGTACCGTCTCTCGGGCGACTACAACCCGTTGCACATTGACCCCGACTTCGCCAAGGTTGGTGGCTTTGACCAACCCATCCTCCACGGTTTGTGCTTCTTCGGTATCTCGGGCAAGCACATCTACAAGAAGTTCGGCGAGTTCAAGGACATCAAGGTGCGCTTCGTCGGGTCCGTTTACCCGGGCGAGACCGTCGTCACCGAGATGTGGAAGGAAAATGACAAGGTCATCTTCCAGACCAAGTGTAAGGAGCGTGGTACCGTCGTCCTCGGTGCCGCCGCCGTCACACTTGCTTGAAGTGGGAAGACCGGCCGTGTTCGCTCGTATTTATGTTCTCTCCCTCGGCTCGTGATATCGCGTTGTAATGAAATCGGTCCACATTCTTCTCACTTTGACTTTTCGCTTCTCAGACGCCGGACCGGTCTCTCGTGTCGACGATTTGACCATGGCCAGGATGATTTGAAGTTCATGCCTGGTAGACATATGTACGGAAAAAGCGAGAGTGGGGACTGGACAAGTGCAAGCAGATTTACTTTCCATTGACGTTCTTGCAGTAATTCTGGTGATTGCGCGGCGGAAAATCATTAGCGATGGCGAGTTACAGCAGCAGCACCAAAGTCAATGGCGACTTACAGTAGCATCGCCAAAGTTACTGACGGTGTCAGAGTACTCGCAGATCCAGTACTTCTGGTTGTTGAGACTCGGACCTGTGAGTGAACAGGCGCCGGTGAAGTGGTCAACTAAACCGCGCTCCAGCAAAAACTGCTGAGGCCATTCCAACAAGAAAGTTTACTGAAGATTGAACCCGGGGGACAGTTGGCTTCGGCACAACCAATCTTGGTCGTCGACCTCCACACCATCTGCGTGTAATGACTGTAAACGGGGTTGGTGCAGTTGAATTGGCTCTCCTCGTTCTCCCACAACTTGATCCCGCTGAGGACGGTGGCGCTAGCATCACCAGCTATGGCGGCGAGGTTCTCGCCCTGAGATCGTGAGATTTGGGAGCTCAATATTGACATGTGTTGGTGCGAGTAAAATGTTAAGAGACGGCAGGCTTACATAAGGTCCACCACTGTGCTTGAACACGCACTTGTTGGCATAGTCTTGAGCGTACTTGGCGAAGGTGTCGTCCCACACGAGCGGGTTTGCACCGTGCGCGGCGCGGAACTTGTTGTGCTCATTCAACGAGAGGGTCTTGACCGAAGTCGAGGATCGACTGCTACCAGTAGGTTCCGCTGCAAGAGTCGTCTTTCGCGTGGTCGTCTTGGCAGCGGTCGTAGGCCTCGTCTCGGTGGCGGAGGGGCATTTGCCATTCTTGACGACAAAGTTTTTCGAGCAGGTCTTGGCGCCCGAGGCGTCACATGTCAACGTGTTGGATCCGAACGACGACGAGCATTTCTTGCACTCGTTGGCTGGTCACGCCCGATGACGATTGGCGAAGAAAACATATCAGCAAAGGTGGCGCGCGGCCGAGATGATGACCCTAGTCGGGAACATGACGTACCGAACGAGTAGTGGTCCTTGCGGCAAGAAACGATACACTTGGCTGCGTTCGAAGCAGGGGCTCCGACGCGACGAGTGCCGGCGCCCAAGTACTTGCCCGTACCGTTGTTGAAGTAGGCATACGCGTCGAATCCATAACGAGAGGGTACGGGGAGCGTGAAACGAAACGCCTGACCGTCCCGAGCACTAACGCTATAGATGGCATAGGGCGACAGCGCCTGGGCCTCTTTGAACGTCGAAAGACCGGCTTTGAACGCGGCCGATGCTTTTCCAGGGTCGATCAATACGAGCGAGAGGGGTCGGGCGTTGCCCGAGCCTTTGAAAACGATGTCGGCTTGGCCGCATTGGGTGAAGCCAGAACTCCCGGTGGCTGTCACTGTCAAAAAGAAGCACCCGACCGAGAAAATTCAAAAAGGTGGTGATGAGCACACTTCGAGATCCCTCGGGTCAAATGGATCAACACATTGTCCCGCTTACGAGAGGCTCCGAACCGGTCGAGGGCCGAGCGCTTGGGCTTCCTACCGCGAGCGACGAGGAGCTCGGGATCGTGATGTCGAGCTCCACCAACGCGGAAAAGGACATCGGAAACACCTGATGTCGAAGCCGTGACGCTGATGGCGGAGGTGGCGAGGACGAAGAGAGTCAAAGTCGGTGTGAGCATGTCGAGTGGCGTTCGTCTGACAGGGGGGCCGTGAGGGTGTTAGCTGCTATGCCCCGGTCGGAGAGCGCCCGCGCCCGGGCGCTCGTTCAGGCACACCAGTAAAATTGTACGATTGAGAACACGAAAGTGGACAACACGAAAGTGGACAGAGAAGAAAGAGAGTGAGATGACGATCGAAAGATGATGGTCTGCGCACCTCGGCCGAGCATCATTGTCAGCAACGAATCACGCGGGGCCGTTACAACATCGCATATCTTACGGATGAAGCGAGCGCAAGAAGAGAAAGTCAAGAGCAGCGGAAGGACCAACTTGGTAGCTGCTGAATTAGGTATAGCGGATCTCGAGACGTGCCTGACGTCGAGTTACTGGCCGGTGTCGGAGAAGGGATGGAAGTCAAGGACGAAGTCGCCAGCGTAAGAATAGCGAGCGAAAGGAAACGAGTTTGTAAGGATCAAAAGGCTGGGACGAACCTTCCAGGCTTCAGGGCCTTTTGGTTTCCTTCGATCAACATCCATTTCGATTCGAACCGGCACTCAGTGCTGTCACCCTAGCCTGGTTGATCTAAGTCCAGGCCGGCGCCCGGTGCGCCGGTTGGCTTCCCGCCGCCGCAACGGCTACATTTTTCTCGCGCGGCGCGACGCGTTCAATTTGATCTGCCGGATCGGGCCTAGTCCCCATCCATACGTGCCGAATCTTTTTCAAATCGCACGTTTTGAGTCGTTAGCATCCGATTTGCGATTTTGCCGTACTTTTCTCTACTTTATCTGAAACTGCCCTGTATGGGGGGGACAATCTTCGCTGGTGTCATCAGCAGCCGCGCAAATGTGCCCTCCGGTGACAATCACGTGACTGGACCACAATGAGCCTTGACTCATCGCGGACATCGTTCCTACAGGTTCCCGCTGGAATCCTACTGCATTATGTAGCCACGTACACAAACACTTTCCTACTTCAGCGCATGTATCGCACAGGCTGTGCTGCTGTCTCCTTGAGCGACGTCAATGACGAAGCCTTTTGGAAATGGAGGAGTGAATCCCTCGGGCTTTCGTGACTGACGGTCATCGGGTTTCGTCCCCTTATCGAGGCTGCGTCATTTGGACCGGACTGGGGGCTTGAGCCTGGCGCTGAAATCGCGGAGGCGGAGGCGGAGACCCCGCTGAAACCTGCTCGAAATGTCTGAGGCTGAGCGCACCAGCAGCGATCGCGCGCGTTCTGAACTTCTGAAAGCACGACATCAAACCAAAGCGCAGGCGCTAGCGACGAGCGTTCGCCGCCTCTTCTAAGCATCGACTCGCCCTGTGTGACTCAGCGATGGCGCAATGCCTGCTCCTTCCTGTCATCATTTCCGTAGACCGAGTTCACTCTTGACTTCTTTCCAACACCTTAACGATTCAACTTGCGTTGCGAACCTCCTCGCACAGACATCCACCACCAACACTCGCAAAGCTTGCCCCAAGATCCTTTGTTTATCTTGCCGAGTGCCGGAGACTGCCAGAGCCGGACTGTTCTCTCGGAGATTGACACAAACAACGCTGCGCGGTTGATCGTTCCCTTCCTTGGCTCGCACATTTCACACGCCAAAACACGCGACCCAGACTCACTTAAGACATCGACCCCACTCCAAGGCTCCAAGCTCAAATTCCACTTCGTACAACAACATCGCACCATGTCGTTCACGCAGACACGCGCCAAGGCTGGCAGTAGCAGCACCAAAGGGATCTACAGTCTCCCTCTCACCGGGGCGGTCATCCCGCCGAGCGAGACCGCGCTGCTGAGGCAGCCCCTGCAGCCCTCGGGTGCAATCGCCTCGCGTCGCCGCACCCGACTTACACCCGCTATCGGCGTCAAGTTTCACGACCTGAGGCTCCGGGAGGTGCTTGACATGTCAGACAAGCTCGAACAACGCGCCATTCTGTCCGACCTAGCCTATGAGAGTGAGTTCGCTCACCCCCACCCCGGCCCAGTTTCCCCTTCGGTCGGGCCAGCGGCGATGGGCTACGAGCTGTCGCAAACGTCGGTCGTGGGCGCTTTTGTCCCAGATCTCCTGCAGAACTAGCGTCGGAATCAGACATCGAGGTTCCTCGCTTACAACAAGCCACTGATACTCTTCTTTCTCCCTATTTCTTCGGCGGCCATCAGTTTCGCTCAACGGCGTCGCATTCTTCTCCAACCAAGACGACCTGTCCGCGGACGATCTTGGGCGACTGGCTTTGCTCTTGGGCGAACCCGCTGGTAAAGGGGATGCTTCGCTCCACATCCATCCCACACAGGAATTGGGCGAGAACGGACTGCCCATCGGTAAAATTAGCAACGTAGCCGACAAGGACGGTCGTCAAATTTCATTTGTCGATGAGCGCAGCGCTATCTCGTCCATCAACTGGCACTCTGACATCACGTGAGTTTCTCACTCGTTCTACACTAACACTAAACGAGAGTTACTTCGTCTGACGCTGCTTTTTGCTCTTCCCGCACTATAGGTTTGAACCACGACCAGCCAACTATTCTCTCCTCAAGATGGTGAGTCGAGTCAAGACATGCGCCTGACGTCGCGTTGGGTCGCAACTCTGTGACTGACGCTGTTTTCAAACCCCCTCAACAGCACACTCTTCCCGAGACCGGCGGCGATACTCTCTTCAGCTCGGCCTACGCTCACTACGATGCTCTCTCACCGGCAATGAAGACGTTTCTCTCCACTCTGACGGCCACGCACGAGGCCGACATGTTCCGCATCCAGTCGCAACGACACGGCTTCAAGCTGCATACCGCCCCCCGGGGAGCTCCCGAGAACGTGGGCGACCACCTCCGCGCCTCGCACCCGGTCATCCGCACCAACCCGACCACGGGCTTGAACGGCCTCTTCGTCAATCAATGCTTCACAACCAAGATTGATCAACTCACCTTTGACGAATCCAAGGCGTTACTCGCATACCTCTTCATGCTTCAAGCGCAAAGTCATGACGCACAAGTTCGCTACCGATGGAAGAAACATGACCTCGCCATCTGGGACAACCGATCGACCAACCATGGTGAGCAGACCTTTTGTCTTACTTTGATTGCCCTGGCTACCTTGGACACTGACGCTTACATCCTCCTCTGCAGCCGCTACCTTCGACTACGATGAGCTCCGACAGGGGGACCGAGCCGTCTGCGTAGGTGAGGTTCCCTACTTCGACCCCAACGCGATCGGTCGTAAACAATTCCTCGGCTCGCAGGGAAAGGCTTGAGCCAAAACAATCCCACGTGCATATACCCACGCTATATCTTGACTTTTATTCATCACATGCCCATCGTCAACCTGTTGTGTATCACTATCAATGGAACCCACCTTCGCATATATCCGTTCTTCTGCACTAGGCACACCTTGCAATTCAATTTGACTTCTTACCAGATCTTCAGAAGTAACGCAGAACCCCGTGCTCTTTTATAGGAGAGCAGAGTTTTGAGGGCTACGAGCTTTATCGCACTCTAGGCATGTCTCGCTCAGTAAATGATGGCACATATCAATGTTCATTTTCCTTCCGGTGGGAAATACAAGCAACCTGTGAAAGGATGGGGAGACAACTCTAAAGAGAAGATAAGAGGAAGAAAGAACGACGAGAACACTATTGAATAACCCAGCGCTGCTTGCGATTGAAGACGCACGCCAGTCGATAATTGAACGAACGCTTCCCGAGGAGACCATTTTTGAATAACCTTACTCCAACTGCTCATGGAGCTTGGATCGCATGCGAACGTCAGGCGCGCTCTCGTGCAAGGCTCGCTCCTTCTTGCTCTGCGTCTGGATCTTCTCGCCGAGGTCACCCTCGGACTCGAAGTACTTGACGACATTGGGCGTGATGAAGGCGTGGTCGACCTCGTCAGAATCTCCAGACTCGTCGTTCTGCGCGATGACGTGCGACTCGAACAAGATGCGCAGCTCCTCGATGCGGTCGAGACGGTCCTGGACGGGGTCGTAGTGAACCTGACGCTTAAGGACGGTGCGCTCATACCAACTGAGATGGCGTGGGTGGACGGCGATGCCGTGGTATTCCTCGGGGTGGCCCGAACGAACGCACTGCCAGTATCGCTCTTGTTCGCGAAGATCAAGACCAGTCGTATCGGGCAAAAACATCCAGGTGAGGACGGCACCAATGAGACCGAACCATGGCACGAACCAGAACTTGGTGTGGTTGTCGATGTAGTTGTAAAGGACAGTGGGGACGAGAGCTCCGAGCTTTCCGGAGGCAGCCGAGAATCCGTGAGCACTACCACGCACATTGGCGGGGTATACTTCGGCGGCGACAAGGAAAGTGGTGCAGTTAGGACCGAACTGTCAAGATGGGAAGGCACAACGATCAGTACCTCTGCAATGCCGAGATCGAACTGGGGATCCTGCGAGAGGATTGCGAGAAGAAGACGGATGACATACCTGAACGAAGAAGGACGACATGAAGTACAAGAACTGGAACATCTTGATCGGAGCTCCAGGCTTGCGGACTGATGAGCCCAAGAGATGAGCAGCGGATGTCAGTCAACCTGGATCAAAATCACACAAGAAACCGGTTCCTTCAAGAAAGAGACTTACGCTGATCGTACCAGATGGCACAGGCGAGGAAGGCAACAAAGTTGAAGGCGAAACCGATCTGTTGCATCCTCACGCGACCGTAGCGCTTGTGATCGATGAGTCCGGCCGCGACGTAGTAACCGCACATGGAGACGACAGCGTTCTGTAGTGGCGCGAGCAAACAGGACCAACGTCAGCAAAAGCTGCGGGTATTGCAAACGTGGCGCGTGTGCAGCGCGAAGACGTACAAGAAGAGAGTACTCCCAAGTGACCCACAGCGAGGCTCCAGGCTTGATGATTTGGATGAAGATACCTTGGAAGACCTTGTTACCGTAGAAGCTATGGGCAGACAAGATGAAGTACGAATGTCAGAGGAAGCGTCATCCCACCGAAGCGAAATGAGCCGAACTGACAAGATGTCGGTCGCGAACCAACCGGCAGCCGTGGCGATCAAACGGCCCCAGTAGTGCGAGCAGACGAGCTTGAGCGAAACCGTGTCGTAGCCGGAAACGTTGGAGCGCTTCTTGGCGGCCTGAACAATAAGATCGGCGTCCTTGATGTGGTAGTAACGGAAGTAGGCGAGCCATGCGTGAAGGAGGCCGATGATGCCAAACGATACACGGAAAGTGTACTGGGCAGCCTTCTCGGAGTAGGGAGGTTCGGTTCGGCCAGAGTGGAAGATGAACAGGAGCAACATAAGAAGCGCCTGATTGAAGACTTGTCCCCAACCTTGCATGAGGAAAGCTAAAACTACGTTGCGACCACGGTGCAAGCGATCATCACGGGCACCCTCCGGGCCGGCCAAGTCGCGCTCGATCGAACGGGTACCGCAAGTCGGATATTCACCACCAACGCCTTATTGGGGAAGAGCACATACAGCGTTAGTTCCCGGTGGTCTTCCATGATGGTATGACGCTCTCTCAGAAAGCCACTCACCGATACCATAGATGAAGAGGGAGATGGTGTAGGCGATGACCCATCCTTGGAGGGTCGCGCCCCACACGGAGGTGAGCATGATGACACCGATCAACATGACGACGGCATCCTGGACAAGACCGAACTTGCGGCCGATGAAATCCGCCTCCCAACCGACGAGGAGTTGACCGATGATGATACCGACGATTTCGAGGTAGGTGACACTTGCGATCAAATTCTTGTTGCAAACCTGGTGCTTCTTGCCCCAGCACTGAGGCCAGACGGCGGCGAACAACGGTTGCAAATTGCCAATCGAGAACAGGACGAAGCCTTCGACGAAAAGACCCATACCTGTTCCGATTCATGGCGTTGCGCATCGCGAGCGTTTGTCAGTCTCCAGTAGTCTTGGGCGGACCCCGGGCAAGCTTTTCGGTGCAAGTCGACGAAAAGACTTGCTTAGGTGCCGACACCGTTTTTGAACTGACCGTTGCTGACATATTTGCGGAAGTAGGCGCCGAGGGGAGCCAGAGGATCGATCTTGGCCGAAGCACCGATAGCCTTGAGTTCTCGGAGAGCCTCCTTGTTGCTCTCTTCATTGATCCACTTGCGCCGCTCACCGTTGGGCACTGCGAATGAGCATCAGAGTGCGGAGGAGGCTAGACCCGTCAGCGCGCGTAATTCGAAGGGTGGCCGAGCGAGCCTGTTGGAAGGCCCAGCCAACGCCGACCGCGACCGCGAGACCGACGTGCGGCAACGACGAATGCCCTCCCGAGCAGCCACGAAAAGTGAACACAACTCACAGTCAGCCCAGTAGGTACCGTTGGCGGTGTAACTGTCGTCGGGGTAGAGCGCATCTTGCAAAAGGGCTTCGCGGTCGGCGTTGCTGAGCGACGTTCGTCCGGAGCCAGTCCCGTTCGAAGTCTGCTGCGAAACCGGCTGCTTCTCGGTTATGGAGTCGTGGGAAAGCGGCATCGTAGCCATGTCCGCGGCGCACGCAGTACAACTTCCTCTAGGGAGGGGTTAGAAAAGAAGATGAAGATAGGTAGGGACAGATCCTAAGGGGAGGAGAAATCCACGAGAAGGGAAGGTGTGCGAAGGAGATCAGAGGGACGGGGGATTATCTCGAGGAAGGTCGACGGTCTAGTCGCCCGTCGGCTCGGAGGCGCTCGGGCTATTAGTATAGTCTTGATCGACACGTTCCGTGCTCCCCTGCCCCCCGTTCGACACCCCTGGCCGGCGGCCTCGGGACGAAAAATGTTTGCCTCCAACGCTTACGCAGATATATTTTTGGAAAGTCTTGATGTCCCACGACGTCACGTCTGTTGCGTGATTGGTTCGGCATTGGGCAATTTGGGCATTGGGAACGGCCAATTGCGAGCGATATCCCAGGGCCCGATACGGCAAGCGCGCGATGCACGTTCGACCAATCAAAAGCGCCGTGTCAGGCTTTTGCGCGAGGTGAATAACGCTCCTCTTGTGAAGCATACTGCAGTCATGTAGCATCAGGGGCATATGACGACTTGGAAAAATCAAAGCTGAAGCCTCTCCGACAGCCACAAAAAAATGGCATCTCCCACGTCGTTGTAGCACGTCTGGTAACTATTTCATCGACTCGAGCACTTGAGCGCACGTGCGCTCGTTCTTGCACGTCTCGAGAATTGTTGTCCCCAGCGCATGCTTCGCCTCGAAGCCTTCGGATTAGCCGCAGATTCCTCCTTGCAGATGACATCAGACAAATCTTCGGCTCTAAAAAGAGCTTCAGGGTTCATAGGTTTCTCAACCGGGCTTCTGAACGCCTCCCGCACCGCAAGATGAACCATCCTGTTGAACAGGCTCGAGGTTAAGACTGAAGATCATCCCGACAGATCAGGGTTTCTAGGCGGCCGATCGATCTAGGCTAAGGCGACATGCATCACGTGACCTTCCCTTTGAGACGCTCCTGTCTCCACTTCATGTTGGTCGGGGCTCGGCATTCACACGTGCGGCGAAATGATTGAGCGGTCATCGCTTGGTCTACTCCAGCAGTCATTAGTCATGTCAATCTCGTCATGAAACTTGGCTAAACGAATCCTCGTCCCGGATTTACGCACACGAAGTGGCTCGGGGCGGGGGACGGCATTTCACAAGAGAGAACACATCGGGGACCAATTTCACAAGAGACTCGAGATACCATTTGCAGATAAGGTCATCAAAAACGACATCTAGCTACGACGGTATCTTCTAAATGCTAGTCGTAACCCTTACCAGAAGCTTCCAACGCAGCGATGCGGTCGAGCAACTGGCGGTTCTGCTCCTTGAGCTGCTCGTTCTCCGTCTCAAGCTCTTGCACCCTCTCCATCTTCCTCATCCTCGACTTCCTCGCCGAGATGGTGTTTTGCAACCTCTTCTTCTCGACAGCTGCAACGACCTCATCAGGCAAGTCGCTCGGGGTCGCTAAGGACTCGAAAGTGGGCTCGATCTCGCCAGAGGCGATGCGCTTGACGATCTCACGCTCGGCAGCGGTGGTCTTGCGCTTCCTTGTCGTCTTGGAAGGCAGTAGAACGGTGCGAGCTTGAACCGGGGCCGCCAGGTCGAGCATCTGCGTTCTACGGAATCCATTAGGAGCGGGCTTGACGGCGGGGGAGTTGGAAGACGAGGCGACGGCGGGCGAGGCAACCGCCGCGGATTCGACGGCAGGGGCGAGTGGCCTGAGCGACGACGAGCGGGGCGTAGGCAAGGACGCCGTACCTGACTGAGCAGTAGGGGTCGGCGGTGGCGCGACGAGAGTTTTGAGGGGCGCAAAGAGCGAGTAGTCGAGGGGAGGCGGTAGTTCGCCGGCGGCGAAATCGTCGAATAATGGTGAGCACGAAAATTCGGAAAAAGGGCTGTTCTCGAGGCCTAGAGGCGAGTCGAGAAGTTGATCAAAGCTGACGATGCCTTGGTGCATCGATGGGAGGTTGCCCATCAGGGCAGCGAGAGCGGCTGTGGTATCAGTCGACGCGGACGGAGATGTCTCGAACGACGAGGCATCAATTGCGGGTAAGTTCAGCGATAGAGAGGGGGGAGACGAGTACGACGAGTCCAAAGGCATGTTCAGAAAGTCTGAAATGGCGGTAAATGACAAGCAAGCAAGGATGAGCCCGAGAATAACCCGAAACTGAAGAACCCGAGACTGACCCATCATGAAGGCCTTGGCAAGCAGTTCCTCGTGTCTAAACTTGTTGAGTTGTTCTTGTTGTGGCACCGTCGGTGTGACAGGATGCGGTGGTGAAATTGTTTCATTCCGTCGACTTTGCTCGTGCGTTGCATCGCTCAAATTCAGCGACGGGATCGAGGCGAGGTCGCTGATCGATGTGGTCGAAGATGGCAGGGCGAGACCGGCACTCAGCGAAGGGGACAGAGCGGGAGATACGTGACCAGAGTGGAAGTGATTGACGTGGACGCGGCGTTCATCATCGGCCGGAGAGGGGAGATGGACGAGGTCGACGAGCGACGCGGTAGGTTCGAGCCTAGGGCACGGACGGTTTAGATACGGGGCCCGTTCGTCGTCGACACGGCACGCGGCCTGCCTCGGAACTGGGCCGGGTTGAAATCCGCCAGAGTCAATTCGCATTTTTGAATGTTGTTGTGCGTGCGAAGGCACGAAGTGGTGGGAGTGAAGGTCTGCATCTTGGCTACGGGTGAGGAAGTCGAGAAGCCTGATAAGATGTGGAGCGTCACTGGGTCAGCGACAGGGCCTTCCACGTAAGATCAGGACCGTGCATAGAGCCAGGTCACGGCGAAACCCGGATCGAACTAGAACAGTAGGTAGTAAGTGACTCACTCGGTGGAGGTAATTGGAGCGGTGGGTCGAGGTTGCTTGGAAAGGCCCGACGAGGTGGGCGCGGGGCGGAGAGAACGAAAGGCGCTTGAAGGGGTTTATTTGCGGGCTGACCAACTTTTGAGGGGGGGACCAGCCGGGTCGAGAGCTTGCGGAAGCTGGACGAGGGGGGTGAAGAACAAAGTGTCTTCTTGCTCTGCGCACAGAGAAGGGGGCGAAGGTGCGACGACGCGACCTGGGAGAAAGTAAGAGTGGATGGAATGTGGAAGGTAGGAAGAGGAGAAAGCAGGCGGGGCGGAAGCGCACAACTTCGAGCCCCAAACTGCCCAAGCGCTTAGCCCTGGAGGCTGGGAGGCAATGGGCTGCTCTGGGCCGGTAACAGCGCGTGGGAGCCGGCGCGGCCGGTAACACGCGTGGCCCAGCGCGTGGGCCGGTGTCAGTAGCACGGTGGGATTCGAGTCACGACGTCTGTTCAACCAATCAGAAGTCGCTCGCTAATCGTCGGTCCATCGGCTCGGTATCGCTGCCGCACGTTCAATTTCATCACAAACCTAATGCAACACACTTTAGTGACACGTCGCACGCCCATCGTATCTGAGTAGCATCCTTACTCCAAAAGTTGTTCCTGTTCCATCCACTACAGGGATCTCGTAATCGTTGTTTTCAGTGAGCACCTTGAAGAGCCACTGTGGGGAAAGGACAATAAATGCGGCTCAGCCAAGCTGCTCACGGGGCGTCGGGTCAAGTCGGCTTACTCAGCGCGGCCGTGAACGTCAGGATGAGACGCGGTCGGACTTCCACAATGTCCTCGGCAACGATAAAGATGAGGGAGCCTGCGCGCACGCAAAGAGACTAGCGTCAGCGTTACCGAGAGCGCACCCACGCAGCCCCAACAGCAACTTACCGAGCTTCCGGGCGATACTAATCGCAAGTTTGGCTATACGGAGAACCACGTCCAGGTCAGACTCTACCTGAAAGGAAGGGAAAGATTCACCTAATCTTACCATTTGCCTTGCACTCCTCTTCGTTCCTGCCCTCGTACACGAGTGTGTAGTCGACGTAGCCGGGCTTGAGCGAGTCCAACAGATCGAGAAAGAAGTGACCGGTCTTCAAGCTCGGGTCCTTAAAGTTGCGCATGGTCGATCGCTTGCCTCCCTTGGCAACTTGGTCGTTCGCCCATTTGACGATATCACTGTCTGTGATCTCGCGACCACCCTTGCTGAGACTGGCTATCGTGGCGAGGATGTTGCGGCGCATCATTTGCCAGACCAGGCCGAGCGTGAGCGTGCGAGAACCATCGACAAGATCCGAGCCTTGAATGCCGACCATCTGCATCCTGTTCGCCTTGGCGAGGTCGACAGCATAGTTGGTGTTCTCGACGGCCTTGAATCGCGAAAGAGGAAGCGGTGTCTTGGCAACACGGCGCCAGACCACCGAGCCGGGGATGACCTTGTCGAACGCTTGGAGTAGGACCAAACCATCCTGGGGGGCAAGGTCGAAGGACACGATCAGATCAACTCGCTTATAACCATGGAACACCAGTGGCACCGACCCACCCTAAGATCCTCGAACAAATCATACACTCCCGGGTCGACATCAAGCGAGTTGAGCCAGAGCGTGAACACGCGGGCTTCGCGCTCTCCTTCGGCATCAAAGTCCTCAATGACGGGTCGCTCGTTCTCCTCGAGAGGTTCAAGGCACGGCCAAGTGTTGAACAGGTTGGCGACGAAAGCCAGGTTGAGCTTGGCGTTCCCGGCAACGAGCGAGCTCGCTGTCAAGTATTTGCGGCAGCCAATCGCATCGGCGTTTTGCAAGACCTGCAACGACAGAGCGAGTGCATGAGATCTGGGAATCCTCACGAAACGTGAACACCCCACATGATGCTACAATTGCTCACCTGCTCGGCACGGTTGTGCAAATCTCGCTCCTGTAAAGGTGCACGAGAGCAGGACTCGGGCTTGAGCTGATTCAACAGTACGGTGTAGTTCTCTCCATCCGAGACGTCCTTCGAAAAGTTGGTGACTCTGCATGTGGTGGGTGGATATCTCTAGAATCAATCGTTGCTAGAGTGCGAATATCTTCCTCGCCATATCGCACTCACCGTCGAGGCCAGTTCGCCGCCTTCAGATGATAGTTGAACCATCGCAGTAAGATTTGGTCTGGGGGCAAGCGTAGGAATTGCTCCAGGGTCTCATCATCCTCAAGGAGTCGATACAGCTCGGGGTGGAGCTTGATGTCGATCTTGTTGAGGAGACCTTTGCGGATGATCTGCCAAATAAGACCGAGGATGAGGTGTTCGCGACCTTCGACCAAGTCCGAGGCACCGATGTTGACGACGGACAAGCCGAGCGCTTTCGAAGAAGAGATGACAAGGTTGTTGTTTTCGGTCATCTGGAAGGCGTTGATGGATTTAGCCGCTCCTCCCGAAGGTGCGGGCATGGCCGACGGCGCCTTCTTAGCTGCCTTGGGCTTGTTGAGCACACGCTCATCGATCGTGTCGGGGACCGAGTCGTTGATCAATTTGGAGAGAATGAGACCATCTGTGGTTATGTTACATTTTGAAGTATCAGCCCGAGGAGGGGTCGTGGTGAAAAGTGGGAGCTCGACCTACCTCGGCACTCGTCGAAGATTTGCATCGTGTCGGTGGGGATGGGCAGCCTCGATCCAATATCGGCATCTCCAGCAAGGACCTAGACCATACGCGAAAATCGTACACAATTCGCAGTCAGCTCATGCCGACCCCTGCTGGTCATTCAGCGACGATCAGGATCTTCTGACCTGGTTGATGTGCCTCGTGAACTCGGTTCGTTCGTCCTCGTTGATCGAGTGGGTGATGTTGGTGTTGGATCCCTGAACGAGCACCTTTCCACCACCCCCAGTCGAGCCAGCACCTCCCCCAGCGCCGATGGGACCAGCGCCGACAGCAGCTTTTGTTCCCGAGTTGGCCCCGATCAGTCCGCTCAACGCGCCGCCCCTCAAGACCTGACCTGCTCCCGCTCCTGCACCTTCTCGCAACTTCGAGACGAGATCCACAAAGTCGTCGAGCTCGACCGCTCCCGAAGAATCGAGGTTGACCTGCTTGAGTGTCTCGCGGACTTGGTCGTAGGTGTACTTGCCGGCGGCGGATGACGACGAGGCGCCCGAGGACAAGGAAGTCAGAACGGTCGACTTGGGCAAACGACCCGTCGAGTCGAGATCGATGGTGCTGCAGACACACAGACCCCAGAGGCTTGAGTCAGCCGGAAACAACTCGACGGCCGGGATGAATCACGAGCCGTTCGGTTCGATGACGACACAGTCCCGTCAGTCCGCCCGTGCTCGTCGTGCGCCAGTGGGTCGGAACCATTATGCTGCTGGACGGCACACTCTTGCCTCCGGCCTCATCTTCCCTCGGAAGGTCCATCTTTGTGCACGATTCGCTTGGCCGAGCGTGCAGTGGACAGGCTCGGCCTCTCGGCGGTCGGCCGGACGGGATCGATCGAGCTTGACTTGTCGTGTAGATGGCATCGAATGGAAGATCGAGTGGAGTGCTTCGACTCAGCTTGAAACACTCACTTGAATTGATTGACGAGGCCCATCATCTCCTCTTGAGAGAAGTTGGGGTACTTGCGCTGCAGCTTGATGACGTTCATTTTGGCTGAACGAACGAAGTCGGGGGTGTCCAGTCACGGGTGAGATCACGTATCATCCACAGTGTGCAGAAGGGGTGAGCGCGTGTCGTAGATTTGGACACAAAGGTGATGCATAGGCCGGTGGCGGTGGCGTAGGGCGGGAGAGGTGGGTCGCCACGAGAGAATGTTCGCGAGCCATGACGAGTGTGGGGAGACCGCGTCCGCAGTTGAGCGTGCGATGAGAGAGAGTTACAAGGTTAATCATCAGTCTGGGATCATAGAGTGTCATCTCTGGATTAAGTAGCGTACCTTTTCAAAGTTTGGACGTCGAGGTAGAGCGAGGAGCGAGAGCGCGGACAAAGGGGCTCGCCGCTCTTCAGAGCTTCAGAATCGAGCCCGAGTGCTTGCACCGCCCCCCTCCGCCCCCACCCGACCAAGGTTAGGCAGCAGGCCGGCCGAGAGTGAGACCCCGAAGGAGCCGAGCCTTAGGCGGTGAAACACGGTCTGGTTTTCACACACCGTGCAGCATTTTCAAATAAAGCTGGCTATGACTACAAAAGAGAGAGAGAGAGATCACACGTTAGCAACCCGTGAAGCAGAATCTTCGAAAGATGAGAAAGCGGCATGCGCCACTGCGTTATTGCCACCGTGCTGATTTCTCGAAGCGAGCCGGGGGGCTTCCGAACTCGTCGAACCGTGATTAAGAGGTATCAAATGTGAAATTGGAACAGTACCAGGCGCAACGAGTAAAGACGTGCAAAGTGACGACGATCTACAAGGGTGACCTGGGGCGATATGCTCTGACCGGCCAGAACGAAGAAGTGAAGATGAACGAATCCACTGCGGAACGACAACGACATAAAAGTGAAGTCGCACAAGTGGGGCTCGAGAAGAATGATTGCGAAAAAAGCAGAAGAATGACTGTCACTTGGCCTATCACATCCACGTCTCAATACGCTTCACAAGTCGTAGTAGCTTGTCCAATTAAGCCCATTGCCATGTGATGGCAACCATGCCTTCCTCCTCGGTCGCGATCTTGGAGAAGGCTCCCACCGAGAGATCGAGGCACTCGTTGTTGACGCAGGTCTAGTAGGCGTGACCAGGTCAGTCAAAGAAGCTTTATTCGTGCCGCAACCCGTATATTCAGGAAAGCAACTTACAGGGCACGAGTCACGGACGGTCGCGGTAACCTGGGCTCCGTTCGAGACGCGGGTGACGACAATTTTTTGGCCACAGTGCGAGCCTCCCGAGTACATCGCGGTGGGCAAGGCAATAACCTTGTCCGAGTCCTGCGCTACGGATCCGCAGTTACCGGTAACACCGTTCTGCGAGTAGAACGTAGCGAAACCACCCTTGTGGATCTCACCACTTCCACCACCACCACTGCTGCTTCCATTGTCATCACCATCGTCATCGTCGCCGTCGTCGTTGTTTTTCTCCGCGTCGGCCTTGGCTTTGGCAGCGGCAGCGGCCGCGGCTTTGGCCTTTGCTTCATCTTCTGCCTCTTGCTCGGCTTCAACAGCATCAGCCTTGGCCTTAGCGGCTTTGGCGGAGGCCTTCGCGGCGGCGGCAGATGCGGAGGCCTTTGCGGCGGCGGCGGCGGCAGATACAGAGGCCGAGGCTTCGGCAGCGGACTCGGACGCAGAGGCAGCAGCAACGGAGGCCGCCTTGGCCGACGCCTTGGCCGACGCCTTGGCCGACGCCTTGGCCGACGCCTTGGCCGACGCCTTGGAAGCCGCCGTGATACTCGCTCCTTGCGCTGACGCTTTGGAAGCTGCAGCATCCGCTGAGGCTAACAGCGACGCGGCCAAAGCAGAGCGAGACGAGAGGCGAGCGTTGGCCACGGAAGAGCGAACAGCGCCGGCGTTGGGCGTCTGAGTTGGGGAAGCGGTCGGGGAGGCCGTCGGGCTCTGAATCGCAGGGGTGTGGAGGCGTGTGTTGTTGGGCAGCAAGACGAAGGTGATGTCGATCATTCCCGTGGTGAGGTTCTGAAGCTGACCGTATGCCGCCTTGGAAAGCGTGGTGTAATTGTTTCCCGAAGCGTCGCCGACAAGGGCCACGACGCTGATGTGGGGTTGACGGAGTTGTGCAACATCGTCAGAAATGTTTAAACGCATCCTTAGAGCGGACCCATGGTAACCTTACCTCCTGCCACGCATGCTGACCTGCACCTTCTGACCGCAGAGAGTAGAAACGCGGCCGGGGTGGCGCCAGAGGGCCGTCGACAAGCCGACAACGTAGTCGTAGTCACTGCAGAGATCATTTCAAGCCCGTGTTAGTGAACATTGAAATTAAACACGGCAGACTGTCTTGCGGGGATGAAACGGAGAATCCGACTGACCTGTATTTGACCCCGCACGCTCCCTCCTGGCCATCGCTCGGGTACCAGATCGCTGTCGACGAGTACACCTCGGAGTCCGCGACCGTTTCAGTGACGGACGCCGCAGGGTTGTCATCGACAGTTGGAGTTTTGTCATCGATGGAGAGCATGTCTGTGTGAAGCACCGGATGACGTAGAGGGCATCATTGGGCCAAGCGAATGCATGGAGCCAAGCATTAGCACGCGTCATGCATGAAGGCAGCCCAAAAAAATGTTGAGCGACCGCGGCGCGCGGCGCGCGTCGTCGAGCTCCGCAATCAAGCAGCCCCCAAAATGGTGTCGCTTCTTGAGGGTGTGTAGAGCTCGATGCAGCCTTGGTGCCGGGAGAATAAAGCAATGGAAACCAACTTACAGACTCCCGGGACAGCAGCAGCACCTGTGACATGGCAGCAAGCAGCAGGTTCAGTACTTTATCAACAGTAACGCGGGCTCCGAACGCTGCCGACAACGCGCCGAAACGCGAGCATCTCGATGTGATTCGCAGACCGTCGCGCAGGCATCAGGGGATAAGACTTCGCGAGAAGGTAGCAGCGTAACATGAGCGAGTAAAAAAGGCTAACTCACGCTTCTTCAACGCATCAGCGGCACGGTGGTGCAAGCCACGGCGTTCAAGAGGAACATCGGCATGTGCGGCATGCGACGCGAGCGCCGAGGCGGCCAGCGTCGAGAGGACGAGACACTTGATGTGCATTTCGTCGAGGTAGGTGTAGGGCGAGACTCGAGTGCTGTTCGGTGAGTTAAGGTAAGGTAAGGTATGGTATGGTACAAGGGTATAGCCGGGTGCCGTCGTGTTGAAGGACTCGGACTCGAGGTCCGAAGGCGATACCGCCCGGCGTCCAACTCACGTTGTTCAACGCGCGACGACGGGTGCCAGTTGTTGACTGTTGCGCGAATGGGATGGGACAAGCGAGCGAGGGCCGTAGGGTAAAGAGTGACGAAAGTTGGATGTCGGGAGTACCTTCTTGTGTATCGACCGAAAGTGGGTTGTTGTCGAAGGGGTGAGAGGAGGGGATGTCGAAGCTCGGCTTGTCGTTTAATCAACACCCTTTTGAGAGCTGTTTTTAGAGTTTCAACATCATCGCAGGCCGACGCAGGGCCAAGGCGCTACCGCGAATGCCGCGGGCGGCGGCAGTGCTGCCGACGACCCCGCCGGCTGGACCGGCATGCCCGCTTCTCGCCAAAATTAAACGGGACGCGGCCCTTTACCACCCTAACTTAGTAGTAACTGCTTTCAAACGTCGTCTCCAAGTGCAATTGGGAGTATATAAATCAGGTTCCCGGCCAGCAGTCGCGGCGCCGAGGGATCGACGACTCATGAGGTGTTCGCTGTGATGCCACCGAATCCCGGCCGCCGTTCTTCTTGACTCGGAGTCTCGGACGCCCTCCAGCGAGCAGCCCTTTGCGGGCGCTCTGCCACTTTGCGCCGTGAAATCGCGCCAGGTGTGTGGTGGACCCGGCTTCCCGTCCCCCACACGACTTGAAGCATGGGGTCCACTTCGCGCATACTGCGGCCACTCCTTCTACGGCCGACGCTTACATTACCAAGACCTGCATCCAAATGGCTTTGTTGCACATGCTCCTACTACACCGCAACGTCCGAGGCGTACCCGAGCTCGGCGACACAACGCGAGCGTCGCTTGACTCCTCCGCAATCGCCGGCCCCACCGCACGCGACCGCCTCGCCGCAGGATCTCTTGGCTCATTACTCCCAAATCCCAACACGGACGGTCAAGCTGAGCGATCTGACACAGTATGGGACCCCACCATTGAGTCAGGACAAGCTGCTCGAAAGCGGGGAGCGCACTCGCAAGCAGCTTCTCGCAGGTCTCGCAAGACGTGTACGTCGCATACGCCTTCCAAACGGACGTTCATGTGGCAGGTAACATCTTACTGACGATAATTGCGTCTCGTTCACCTATCAGGTCACGCAACACCTCTCGCTGCCATTCTTACCGGCGACGAACCCGTCTCTGCAATCCATTCATAAGCTCTACTCGTCGGCCTTCTTCGACCTGGTGGCGGTACCCGAGATCAAGACGCTTGAAGCCAACGATGAACTGTGTTCTGCCATGTCGAAAATGGTCGAGGAACATCGAGACAACATTCCGATACTCGCGAAGGGTGAGCAACCCGCCGCTAAATTTGGTGCCCCACCTTGAGGTGGATCTCCCACGCTGACTTACACCGTTATCTTCTCTGTTCAAGGCTTCCAAGAGACTCGGAAATACCTTGCCGATACGACCGTCACTCAGTTCCTGGATCGAGCCATCCGGGACCGTATCTCGCTTCGACTGATGGCCGAGCAACATCTTTCGCTCTCATCAGCGTCCATGCCGGCTTTACGGCCCTCATCTACCCCAGCCCAAACAGCTTCATCTTCCACGGATCCACGCGTCGAGCCATCAGCACGTGCTCCGTTTCTTCCATCAACGTCCTTGGCACCGTCGCGAGTCGGCGTACTTGATCTGTCGCTCAACCCGCATGAACTCGTTACGGCCTGTGCCGACTATGTCACTTTGCTCTGCGAGGCGACGTATGGCGTTGCACCGGCCTACAGAATAGAAGGTGCCCCTTCGAACGCAACGGTTGGCTCGATTGGCAGTCATCTCGAGTATATCCTGACCGAGTTGTGAGTCTCGAAGTGCAAGTGTCCCTGAACGATCGTAGACTGACGACAGGCGTTATGGTCCTTGTTTCCGTAGGCTGAAGAATGCTTTCCGAGCGACCGTGGAGCACCATACGCCAGAACCAGAGGAAGAGGACCCCGATGTCTTCCGCTTCGACGACCTACCTCACGCCCATCTCAACAAGAAGGACTTCCCTGAAGTGGTCGTGACGATCGGAGTAGTGAAAGGCCTGTTGACGATCCGCATCCGAGACCGAGGAGGAGGAGTTCGTGAGTTTTGGTGACATTAACAGCTTGCGTGTTTCTCTTTACCTCGGTCTGACTTTCACGCCCTATTCACAGCCCCCGAGAACATTGCCAACATCTTCTCCTACGCTTTCACATCGGTCAAGGCTCTGCCTGATCCCGATGCGGACCCCGACTCCCCAGACAGCGACTTGTACGGAGGTGCCAGTGGAGCCGGGTACTACGGTGGTGTTGGAGGTGGTCCACAGGGCGGCGAGTCGACGCTCAAGACGTCGATGGGGACACTTGCAGGACTAGGATTTGGGTGAGCGACGATGATTCTACCGAACGGGGGCAAAGGAGTGGCTCGTGCAACATGCTGACGCCATACTCCATTTTTCAGGTTACCGCTGTCGAGAATCTACTCGGGTTATTTTGGGGGCTCTCTCGAGCTTGTGACGATGCACGGATGGGGCACCGATGTGTACTGTGTCATCCGCGTTGTTTGAGTAAATCAGGTCGTGTAACTATGTTTTCATCTCAGTAACACTTGCGTCTACCTGGAATCACCCCTCTATGTATTATTTAAAGGCAAGTTATGCCGAGACAGCTCCTGGCCACTCGCTCTTGCCTTCCATGCCCATCTCAATATCCCCGACCTTGATACTCATCCCCGACTTCTCATCCTCCCCAATCAACCAAGCCAACCTCTGCTTCGGCGTCATCCTGTTCACCACCACCTTGTTCGCTGCGCCGTGTTCTCCGAAGCCGGCCAGAGCGATCGCACGAGCAGGGACGATGGTCCTTCGACCACATTTCAGGACGACGTGGGAAAGAGAAGTGGCGTGCAGGATGAGTGGGCCACCTTTTTTGGGTTTTGTTGTGAACGATGTGATGTAGTACATCTGAAAGGACACGTCGCGGTAAGGTCAGTGATGGCGGCCTTGAACGGCAGCAAAGGTCGAAGAAAGAACTTGCCCACTTCTTATCATACGCGACCAGCTCTTGTGTGACGTCGAAGGTGGCCCCAATATCAATCTGTTTCGTGAACTTGAACGCCGTACTCCCAAGTGCGAAGTAAACGTTTTTCAACGACAGCGGCACCGGCAAAAGCGAATAGATATGAGGTCCTCGTACGTGATCGGCGGCCCAGGCGTAGGATGAATTGGACAGGTGGAAGCCGAACGCATCGGACAGCCCTGGACCGGAGAAAAGCGTTCGGGTGAACTTGAAGGTGCGAGGATCAGGGTCCGAGGTTGTTGGAGTGGAGAGACCTAGACGAGCTCGGGCCATCCAGTTCAACCAGGGGACGAGGACGGTCACGTGCCATCGGCCGGGAAAAGTCTATACTTTGGGGCAGCGAAAGGTCAGTAGTGTGACGGGTACCATGCTAGTATCCCGATGGCTCACCTGGAAGTTGATGGCTAGCCATGCTACCAACGCGACCTTAAGCGAGGTTGGGATCGTCGAGGGCAGGAAACGAAGCATTTGGGCTTGATAATACTGAATGGTAGCCAACAACATGCTGTTGAGCATTCAAGAGATGACTACTGGGAGGGTATTCCGGAGTGTGTGGTAAGAAGGAGAAGACGGAAGCTGCCAAGACTGGTCGGTTTCGCAAGTTGGCACCGTGCCCGAAGCCCGAGTCCGTGCCTCGGGTCATTGCTCGGTCGGCATGCACATACCCGAGCCGAAGGAGCACAGCGCGCTTGCGGCGGTGGAAAGCCCAACGGTCGTGCGAACCTACGCTTCGCTCCTGACGAGTCACTTGTACCGGGATGTGCGTAGTTGGAATCAGGTGAACCTGTTGCAAAAAAGAGGCTTTTTTCGATGATTTAAGCGCTGTTCGTCAAGGGACATCGTCACGGCGCAGGCACTGTATTGAAAATCAACATTCAAATGAACTGAGTTACCACCGCATCATTCCGAGCGTTGCGAAATGTGGACCTGACCCCATGTGGGACACAAGAAGAATAGAGTACTGTAAAGCTCGCTGCCCGGAAAGGGCTCGAGGTTGAGAAGCGGACAAGGTTGAGAGTGACGGCGCCCTACAAGTCATCTCGTAGTGAAAGAAAAAAAAAAACGCTAGGTCTGACCGAAACGACGAGTCCGATCAGGCGTCGTCGCCGGCGTCGTTCTCGCTGTTGGTCGGTTTGAACTTGAGGTGTTTGACGAAAAAGTCGAGTGCTGCTTGCGGACATTTCCGTCGCCATATCGCCTCGGGCAAATACGAGTGTGTACCATCGATTTTCCAAACCGCCATCATCCGGTGACCATCCTTCTTGTCCCCGGCGACAATCGTCTCGATGTGATCGACGATATCCTGCCACAGATGAAAAGTGGGCAAATCAGACTCACAAGCTCGGATGAGGCAGGCCGCCGTCGACAGAAGATAGGCAACTCACATCGAATGTTGCAAGATCGGCATACTTCGTGAGGTGGTAGTCTGTTTCCTCTCCCTCGGCCTCGTACCCATCGAGTGTATCATCTCCATTCGAGCCGGCATCCTGCTCATCCGCCACGGAAGTCTTCTTGTCATCGGCCTTTTCCGGAGATTTCGTCCCGTTCCTTCTTTTATCGTCTTTCTTATCCTTGATATCCTCCTTTGGCTTCTTCTCCTCTTCTTCCTCAGCCTTGGTCTCGACCGGAACGACAGGCTTCTTGCGAGGTGAGGCCGAGTTCGGCGCTCGGTTTCCATCCGCCGTCGGAGTGGTGGCCCTCGCTTTCTTGGGTGGGGGGCGGCGATTCTCGTCCTCGTCTGAATCTGAATCTGGATTGTGGGCTTGGGCCTTGCCCTTGCCTCTTGCGGACTGCTCGCTCGATCGACGCTTCTTGGCTAAGGCGGCCGAGGGGGAGGGTGCCAGCTTGGACAGTTTTTGGTCCCCGAGACGGTCCGCCGAGACGGTCCGCCAGTAGGCCTTGACTTTGGCAGACGCAGTTTCACTGAAGTATGATGGGATATAATAGTGAGCTCACGTGCATGAAGATCAGGATCCTCCGAATACAGGAGAAGATGGGACTGACTTGACATTCGACTCGGGCTCCCATGTGTCTTCGCTGGGATCCTCGTAGCCCTTCCAACGGATCAAATACTGAAGTCCCGCCTTTGCACGATCAAACAAGGTTCATGTGGATGAGCAACTTGGGCTGTGCGAGGTGAATCCTCGCACGTTCTGGTGTCGGACGATGTCCGCGACGCGTCGTCGTTTAAGAGGCACCACCCGCACCGCCGAAACGACGCCACATGCCCGTGGAGCCCACTCACCTTGGGCGCATGCTTGTGATCCAATATCTTGGACACCTCAACTGTGATGAAGGTGGTAGGGTGCACGGTCAGCCTTACTCACTGGTGAGGCATCTCGCGCGGCTTGGGGAGCAACGCGTCGCGTGATGCGCTTGGCAACAGTGATGTTCACGTACAAATTTCCTCTTCTTCTTCTTCTTCCTCATCAGACTCGGGGATAGCTACCGCTCGCTTGGCCATGGTAGAAATGGATCGCGTGTACGAGGGGCGTTGGTGTTGAGGCCTTGAGGCCTTGGTAGACCGTGGCGAAGCGATGCCCCGCGCGTGTTGTGTTCGGACGCGCTGCACGGAAGCTCACAGATCGGCAGGTCCAGTAAGCCAGCCAAATGAACTCGTGCGCGCACACGCGATAAGGCAGCTTTCACCTCTGGCTATATATCTAAGCACACCAAAAAGTGGCGCGCGCAGCGCCCTTCCCAGCGCCGCTCTTAAGCGGCGTACTCATACAGATTGCTCCCCCTGCAACCCGGGTTGCTTGAGGGCCCGAGGCCAGGGGCACACGGAGGCTTGTGTGGGCTCCAACAGTTTCATCTCATGTACGTGCGTGCTCAAATCAGGTTATTTTAGTCATCGTAGTGTGTAATTCGTATTTGGAACACTCAGTGTCAATTTTTTCGGTAAACTATCAGCGAGGAGAGGTTCGATTAGGAAACATCATTACTAAAGTGATAAAATGGCATTATTGAACGTGATAGAGTCTCGTGCCCTTTCACCACGCTAACAAACGCAAGCGACACTGAGTGACAACGAGCGACTTGATGCCTCTTCACGCTTGACGCGCCGCTATCGACCACGTGCAGTCCTGGTCTTACCCCTTCCTGTCGCCGTTACGCTCTTCGTCATATATCTATACTTGACGCCATCCGACGATCCGATATGTCCAGCCTGTCTGCTCCCAGCAACGCGTCAGACTTTGCCGCTCCCACCCGTGAGACGCGTCCTCGTGTTTGTGATATGGGTGGTCCTTCTGCTCACCACCGTTCCTCGCTGTTTCTGCACAGCTGCTTCGGTGCAATCGACCAACAGCGCAGACATGGGGTCCGTACCGTCTCCAATTACGGTTCAGACCCAACAGAACCACCTTCCTGCGCCCAGCGGCGCGACTCCCGAATGTGGACGAAGCACACCGCTCGCCTCAAGGCCGACCTCGTCCAACTCAATTGATCAACAAATCAAACAGATTCAGGAAGAGATTCGAGCTCTCCATGATGCCGTTCGTGCGTTGCCTTCAACTTCGCGAATGTCGTCGTCGCAGAAGCAGCCCCATGTGCTCTATGGCTTGCAACGTCGCCTCGAGACAATGAAGTATTGTCTGCATCATGGCGTTCGGGACGACGACCTCGACTCGTACATGCCTCGTGCGATCCGAAGGAATGACACAAACGACTGGAACGCTTTCAAGACGAGCCGCTTTTTCCACTGTCTCGTCGAGAAGGACGGACTCGAAGATGAGCGCGGCGTCTGCCTTTCTAGCTCATCCCGAGATCGTTCATTTTGGCATTTCAAGACGCTCCTTTACGCTTCTTTGACTCACAAATTGATCACTCTGTACCCCTACAAAGTCTCGAAAGATTTTTCTACGCTAAACACAATTGGATCGCGCTACTGGGAAAAAGTCAAAGACTCGCCAGATCTTTATGAACAATGGAAGGAAGCGTGAGCAAGTGAAGCCGAAGCGCGTGAATACGAGCAGACCACTCGTCCCTTCAAGCGATGGCGAATCGATCCTGCTGCCATCACTAAACTGAGTCACAAGTACGAAAAGACGATACACGAACTGGTCCGTGACAATTCAGCTCTTCTCGTTGGGCTCTCCTCAATTCTCATGATCCTCCCGTTGACTTAGATAGCTTGGCACTGCATCAGGTTCATCAGCATGCTGACACCTACGGATTCGACGCGTTAGTCATCGTCGGCTCGAACAAGCTCGAGAATAAAAATGATCGTTTCATCGTTTCGACGCTTGGCGGCGCAGCTTTCATGCGGCGCCAAAGCTGGGGTTCTCAAAAGAACGATGTGCTCGTTAACTTCACGGAATGCATAAATGGCACCCGGTTCAATCAGGAGCGAGACGAGCAATTCAAGATGGAAGGTCTGTCAGACAAGCTTCAGAACGGACCTTGTGCTCGGCGATAGATTGGTGCTGATTCCAAGAACTGATGAGCAGCTCATCATGGTGATGTTGACAAGGCGTCTCACCGAGTGCTCTGCACATGGTATCGCATTATCATTGACGATTACTATAGTAAGCAATCACTCCACCGCTCTGCGCCCACATTTGGCAGCCCATGACTGAAGTTTTGTGGCCGTGCAGATCAAGCGCTCTGTCGTCGCCACAACAGAAACAAGTCTATTCAGCCCTACGTGCCTTCCAAGCTTACGAGCTACAACCAGGAAACTCTTGCGAAGGATCCAACCGCCTTTGTTATCGAGCTCGGAAACGGTCTTCACGAGCGTGATTTCCGCAGTCCTACCAATGGCAAGAAGCCGACCGTTAACAATTTGAGAAGAATTATTCCATTGATGCGACAGGGTGGGCTTACGTTTTCGCTCAAAGAGGATATCGGCCAGGTCTCTTTTGACCGCACTCCTGCCGAGAGTACTTTGATGAGCGAGCAGTCGGAAACGGAGCCAGAAGACCAAGACACTGGATCTGATTCTGCTTCTGATTCTGCTTCTGCTTCTGATCTTGGTTCTGGTTCTGATTCTGATTTGGGAGCTGCAACATTTTGATTCCGAATCCGACTACATTTCTGTTGTTCAGTATATTGTTGGTGCGCCTATCGCGCGTTGAGGTAGATTGCCAAACTTTTTGTAGTCGTTGAGGTGATATCGACCTGTGTGGCAAAAGGTATTCAACAAGTTTCCACGCATCTTGACTAGCTTGACTGTCCGTCCGTTGATCAATTATGCGACGCATTTTTGATCGCAAAGCAAATCGCAAAGCAAATAGATTTACCCGCGCTAAACGTTTCAGATTTTACTCCGTAGATTCAGGCAAATAATGGATGTTCAAATAAAGCACTCACTCATCCTACCTAATGTCAAACTGCAGTTAAGCTCGTCCCAGAGCTTGGGGGGTGACCAACAGCAAAGCACCCAAATTTCTTCGACTACCCCTTCGGACCCCCCGAGACGCCGGCGAAGTGACAGCAGAACCTTGTCGAGAATGTCCGTAATAACACGCTTCGCGTAGGGTTCTTCAAACGGCGTGCCCACGGTGAGAAGGAGAGCCGAGATTATTCGTTGGCGCTGGAACAATAGATATAAAACAGAAGCAGGGAACAAGGTAGTTCACCACTTCTGACCTGCAGACGCAAGATCGCAAGGTGTCCGAGCTTGCTAGCTGACCACGGTGTTCTAGCTGAGGGCCAGGGAAATACGACGCTGCATTACGCGTAATCAATGCCTTTTCTGCTGAATTGTCAATGGAAGGGGGCGTAAAGTCGGCATCGATATAGTGGCAGCTTGGTGCTGAGGCGTCAATGACTTCGTAGTAGCAATTCTCGTTGTTGGCCGAGTCGCTTGCATACAAGCGCTAGCGTTCATAGGTCGCGCTCGGTGCCGACTACGTATTGCTTCACGCCTGGGACAGGCAATGTGCCAGGTGGCCACTATATCTCGTCTCGTGCAAATACTCGATGATCTTGATCTTTGTGTCCCGCAGACAGAATCGCTGGTTGTAACTTGGTATGAATCGAGTCGCTGAGGGCATCGGATCGGCTGTGACGCGACGGTGTCGGTGATGCTGTGAGAGGAGAGCGCGCGCGCTCGGTGACGCTCGGTGACGCGAGGCGCGACGTGTACCCCCGGGGGTACACAGTGGGACACTTCTCTTTCTCACCCCTAAACCCCACTCCAAGTCCAACATGGCACCACGCGCCACCGAGGGCGAGCGCGCTTGGCTCGACATCGACTCGCATCTCATCCGTGACGAGTCCGGCCAATGGCGTGTCCGTTGTGAACTTTGCAACAAACACTACAAGCTGCCTGGGGGGTACAGGTCACTCGACGCCCCAACTGTAGCACCGGAACATGCACATGAGGCCAAACGAAACCTGAAAAAACATATCATTCGTATACACAAGCGCACGTTCAATCCGTCTACGGTCGACAGTCGGTACAGATGCAACGAGGCGGCGTTTGAGCTGATCGGTACCGACCGTGAGGTCCAAGCGGTGAGTGCTAAACAGCTTTCCCAGGAGATCAGATACAAAATATGTGGAATTCGGCTAAACCTTTGTTTATGTACTTATCTGATCTGATTAGGGTTTTGGCCACCTGAAGAAAAGATACCGCCGGCAGTTGCAGGCCAAGCTTGACGGGTTGGAGGCGCCAGGGAAAGCGGACCGTGCGAGGCACGACGAGTGGGCGGCGGAAAGGGCGCGTCGGCTGGCGATGGAACCCGAAGACATCATGATTCAAGACCCAATCCCCGAGGACGACGAAAATTTGGCCTATGAGGTCCGGGAGGAGATCGACTACGTCGTGTGGCTTGTTTGGGATGAATGGGCAGGGCACAAAGGGAATGGACGTCTGCCTCGGAGCCTGTTGACCGTGCTCATCCATTGGAGGATCGTGTTGTTCGATGCATACGATGACCAGAAGCGAAAAAGAGGTGGAGGGAGCGCGAGAGTTTTGAAGGAGTATAGAACCCGCATCCAAGACTTCGACGACATCCTCGCGCGCATCTTCACCGTCCCCGTCAACATTGCCGCCGAACATGAGGAATCGCGCCTATTCAGTGAAATCCTTTCACCCCTGTACCACGAGTGCCAACGCCCCCTCCCTGAGGACGAAATAAGGACCGACGAGGACCAGGAGGGGAGTGACCGCCTTTTAAGATGGATCCAAAAAGCGTACCGCCCTTTCCTCGGGAAACGTGTCCCGGACGAGTACTGGGATCAGTTAGAAAGCGAACATCGCACCTGGCAAGCAGCGCTCAGACCATTTGCAACGACGGTGCTCGTCCACGTTCCCGAACCTCCCAAGCCGCCCACCGATGCGGACCTCGAGCCCGAAAGGAAGAAGACCTGGGACTCCTGGATTGTTGAGTGTGCCCACAGGTGGTTGGCGCTGTCGAGCGAACAGAGGGACGCGTATTGTTGGATGCGCAAGAAGGGGTCCGGCGGTGAGGGCGCCGCGTCGACCTCGGGGGCACGAGAGGAGGACGCGATATC